CAAGTTAAAATTATCGATTATGTTGTAAGACATACCTTTAAATAAAGTCTTACTAAGTTTACTTAATTTATATATATATCATATAATAATACTTTACCAGAAATTTTTATTATGTTGCAAATTTTACTTGCAATTAAGTTTTTTAGATTTGGGAATACTTATCATTCAAATAATATCATTATAAGTTATTCAATGAAAATTTTAAAATTGAAGTTTACCCAGATGAATATTATATCTCAGCTAAAATTAGCCTTTGAAATTTATTAATATTTATAAATTTGTACTAAATTCTTAGAGTAATTATATTAATATGTGCTGAAATACATTTGCAATAATTAATTTCAAGACTTTTGGACCAAAAACTAAAATAATGAATGTTTACACTTTGTATCGTCCTGACCTACGTTAACGGTTTTCACCCACTATACACCAGAGCGCAGTAAAAATTCCACTCTTCCTCCCTTCTGTGTCGTCAATCCCAGAACAAGCATTTTCTTTTTTCGCATCCCACGATAAACCTGACTAGCGTTACAATTTTACTTTACGCTATAGCGTTGGTTATGGTGCACATAACCGTACTAAAAAGAAAACAAGAAATAAAAACGCAAGTCGAGACGAATAATGGCGGAGAGGAAATAATAGAGACATATAAGAAATCTAGAGTCACATTGAGTTAGCCGGCGGTGTTCTAGCTAGTACTTATAATCAACGTGGGTAAATCGAGAAAAAAGGGCGAGAAACAAGTTCAAGAAGGGAAATGAGGAAACGCATAGAAAATGTATATTATATATACACCAAAGCCTCTTTTTATAATTACAGCACAACCCCTTCTTTTTCCTTTGATTTGCACACAGCCGTTCTCTTCGTTGTCGTCGTCGTCGTCGACTTCGTCGTACTTAGAGTCATACTTCTATACTTATATACATTATATAGTAATTAATCTGCAATTCATACACCATCGCAGCCGTTTCTTAACTTCACCACAGCCTTTCATTTAATCCGTGATAATTATTCGGTATTAATATTAAACTCTTTCAGGACTTAAAAAAATTGTCTGTACATAGACTATATTCACTATGAACTTTTTGATATCTACTCAGCAAACAAAACTAATTTTACTTTAATTTAAACATTAAAAAATAAATAATAATAATAATAATGGTTATTATTACAATATTTTATGCTGAATAAATATATTAAACATTTTTTAACACATCATTATGTTACAGGAACAACAAACGTTTTAGTATTTGAGCAGAGCTATAATTAACATTATTGAAACTATTAAAACCATTTTTTAAAATTATTTTTAGAACGAAACTTAACAATATAATGATAATCAGTTTTTAGAAATAGTTCATAAAATTAATTATTATATTTTTTAATTCTCAAGTCCCTTATTTTTATATTTACAGACATAGAGATTTTACTAAAAAAATAGCATTGTTTTATTTGAAGTATTTTAAAATGAAAATTATTTTTTTAACACGATCAATTAATTCTATCAATTATAATGTTTATATTTTCGTTTAGTTATGCATTGACATGTAAAATATCGCTATTCACTTAATAATATGTTGGAGTAATTAAAAATAATAATAATTTACTGTTTAGTAGCACGCGAGCAACTTAGGGTTCCGTCATTATCGTATTTCCCAAATTGATAGCATCAAAATTATTTTATAAGAGGATTCCCAACTTTTAAACAATTATCTGAGAATTTAACGCGTATTGTCGACTTGAAGGAAACGAGACTGTACATAATATCAATTTACTGATTCCCACATCAGTTAAAACAAACGCTATTGATCTTACACAGTTCAGCATACGACTGTTCGCGTTAATTAAGTGGCCACAATATAATTTTCTCATACACACGCTAACTTGTTGTGAATTTAAGAACGCCAGCCTCTATGTCTAATAATATGAATATCATTTTTTATACCAATTACACCGGAACGACATGTGTATTTACTTGCGCGGTTACTATCTATTCGTTGTCATGGGCACGGAAATGGAAACAAATAGTCGACTGTGAGAATTCCATCGATGCCATTGTTATCCAGAATCCAATCTAAAGAGAGACCACCAATAAGGCACCCACTGCACCCGGTAGTAGCTATAACGAATTCTAATTTATTTGCGTGAATATTTTATACCAATACCCGTGTATGAGTATGTCTGTCTCTCAATTATCTACTTCCTTCCTGGTCGCATATATACAACCATATGCTACCTGGACCAAACTCTCCCTTATCGGCAGACCGTATCGGTCTGTTTGGTCATTGACTACAACCGGAACTTAGCTGACAAAAGAGTCCTGAGTAATTTCAGTAATTTTATTTTTCGTCCAAACAATAATCATTAAAAAATAAAATAGGTAAGGCTCTGCATGAACTCTAAAGCTGTTACGAGTTGTATAACGTAGCAAATTACACATGAAATATCTCTTGCGACATATGAAGAGAAATGAGTACAGTAAACAATAAATAATTATAACCTCCTGTGCTTAATGGTATTGTTTTCGCCGATATGTACCAATACATTTATGCTACATGATATTTAGCTTTTAAAATAAAGATCACAGAATAGAACAGTTGCTCATTTTAATTGGTACAACATGATTCAGCAGGGGCAATCGGCACGACAAATGCCATCGCGTAGGCGATCGTTCGCAATATGTGCAAAAGCGTACGGATGATCGAAGATGATAGAAAAAATGATACCATAATAAAAAATAATTAATATCTATAGACGACAAAGGGTTTAACGACTCGTCAAAAACAAACTGTTGTTCGCCCTCTGTAATGATATGTAACATTGTTTTATTACGCACACGTTTCAGAGATCATAAAAAAACATCGAGTGAAATATTTTACAATTGATAATCACAAAAAAAACCCCGTTTTAACATCGCAGCAACCCAAATTTGGACCTTGGTATATTAAACTATTATTTTATTAGTCCCAGGGGCTTTTCATTATCTTTTTCAATACATTTTTTCCAAATAAAAAATTAAAATTGTTTAATTAAATCAATTTTTTTAATAAAACATGATGTTAAATAAGTGTGATAACTAAACCATCGATATAAATATTTCACTTAAAACAAGGTGGTGTAATCAAGTTAATTCTTGATCATCAAATGTTTTAAGATAATCTCAACCGAAGAGAAAAAAAATAACATATGACAGATAAATACATTTTTTTGTTTTAAGATTCCTTTTAATGCAGATAAAGAGAAAACGCTCAAAATATGTATGACATACGACTTAAATCAAATTGCGAATACGATAACATGAAATTTAACCTATCAAAATTTTCATAAATATTTAAGCATAATAACTATGACTAATGTCATAAAATGTTATAAGTTTTTAAAAATACAAAAATAAAATAGTTTTTTATAACTTAATATTTTCAAAAATTAAATTTTTATTTTCTTTCATTATTAGTACCATTTAAAGATATAGTCAAAACTTACAACATTGTAAATATCCGATAATTCATATTACACACGTTTGAAAAATAAAAACCGTTCACATCAAATTTATAGAAAAAAACCGGTCACTAAATGTCAGGTTATAAGATGTGAACGCGCTTAATATTAACGGAAATATCGTTTCGCAACTCCCGTGGGTAATAGGTGTAGCAGTTTAAGAGGTCGCTTACCCGCAGAATCGCATTGAAAGGTGAAGTAGGCAAAAAACCAGAAAGAAACGAATAAATAATAGCCCGGGGAAAAAAAGACCGTTAGAAGGGTGCCCGACTAAACCCCAGTACCAATTGTGCCGTCTTAAAGATATGGGGGACCACAAAGCAAAGACATTATTGTTCCGGTTGCGCCCCATCCGACTTTCTTGCAAGACGCCGTAAGAGGAAAAAACCGTTACCGTTTGTGTTTTTCCCACGCGCCAAGGCGTTCCCGTACACCTGGCCTTTGTTGCCTTTTGCTTCTTGGCATTCGTCTTTTGGCACCGTATACAGTCATAAATACCGGTTTGCATCCCCAATAACGTGTATAAGTTATGCTGTAGAAAATTACAATACAATTTGCCGTACTTTGTTTATAAATGTCGTAGATTAAATATTATTCGTTAACAAAATTTGTGTTCAACCTTAGGCTTGTTCTTCAAAAAATGAGATTGATTATATTTCTACAAATTACTAGAGGCATTTCAAACTATTCAATTTTTATTTTATTTATTATTACTTTTTGATTGATGCACAAAAAATGTAGTGAAATAAAATTTCTGTAAACAATTTCTACATGAGTTTTTTTATTTATTAGCGAGGTTTTAGCGTTATAATTTTTAATGCTCTAATAAAAAATAAAACATATGTACTATATCAAATCAAAAAATATTTTCATTGAGAGTCAGTCGGGTAATAGTATAATTGAAATTAAAAAAGCTTTAAAATTACTCATGTCGGACATAAACTATATTACGAAAGTATTGATACTTGTTGCTTATTAATTTCGGTCGATTTAATAACACCATCGGTGGTGTATTCATTTATAATACGCGCGGGGGAGTTTTTAAGACATTATGGTGGTTGTAGTTCCGGTTGTATAGTGATTATTGATTAGCCCGAGTATGATTAAGTGCGTTATCCGTCTCACAGTAGGCATTACGTGTGTATAAGGAGCAGATGCATTAGGTTTTGACATAAGGCACGAGCCGTAGGGGTATTGTATACGCGGGTACAATAATAGTGTTGTAGTATAAGAGTTATTAACGCCATATATAAATATATATGTTTATAACAACGTATGTATGTATATGCGGTATAATATGCACACTAGAGTTGTAACAGTAGTAACGGCAATAGGTAAGCGCAAACGGTCGGCGGTGTAGTAATGACGAAGGCGGTGATAATGTTTTAGTGGACAAGAGGGAGAGGAGATTATATGTAAAGAAAAAAAAACGTTCTAACAGTTGTTGTATTTGATTATACTATTATATATATATATGTAAGTATGTATGTATGTATGTGCAGGTGATCCGGTTGATGCGCGAAGGAAGGGAACAACCAATCGGAGCCCGCTATGTCATCTGAGGAGGACGGCGGCAACGGTGCTACGACGGCAGTGGCGGGGGGAGCTGAGTGTTTCGTCGGTGGGGATTTGGACGGAGCTACCGACAAACTGTTGAAGAACAAGGCAAAACGAAGCAGACAGCGCGTGGATGCCGGCGAACCGCGTAACAGTTACTCGTCCATTCCGAATTTCAGTTCGCGACCGATCGTATCTTCAGCGCCGTTATTAAATCAAGCAGCCAGTTTCTACGGTGCATTTTTTGGTCAAGGACATCAACAATATTTTTTTAATCAGGGCTTTGGGCCCGGTAAAATGCTAAACGAGTTCATCGGCCGTCAAGTCAAAGAAGATATGATGACCATGGACTCCGCAGATTGTATGGCACAGCCACTACCCGGCTTACCAAATTCACCGACACCAAACAGTGAATTGGCACACCACATGCTCAGAGATATACTGCAAGGTAGAAAGAAAGAGTTATTGGCTCTCGAACAAGAGTTTCGCAATTCAGAAGATCCGTCTTCTCCTGACAACACATTAATGAACAATAATAATAATATCAACAACAACAAAAATGATATTAAAGACGACTTAAATAGTACAATGCAGAAAGAATCCATCATTTCTATGGACATAGACAAATCAGCTGAAAACGAGGTAAGTTCTAATATTATTAATAATGATGTGGAAGACTTAAATGACAGTAGTGATTCAGAGCGATCAGTGTGTTCTCCGTCTTTCGATACTAGAGAACCAACTGAAGAACAGAGTAAAGATTCAGAGGTAAGAGTAGAGCAGAATGAATTGAAAAAAGCTAGAGTAGAAAATATAGTTTCCACTATGAGATCTAGTCCATCATTACCCGTTCAAGTCAATGGATGCAAAAAGCGCAAACTATACCATCCACAACAACATGATAACAGCGAGCGGTATAACAGTACGCACGAAGCTGAAGACGAAGATGAAGACGATGACGAAGATCTCAGTCCCAACGAACTTAGACAAAAAATGGTCGAAAAAAATGTTCTAAAAAGTCAATTACGTACTATGCAAGAACAATTAGCTGAAATGCAACAAAAGTACGTACAGCTATGTACTAGAATGGATCATGACGAAGAAGCAGATGACGTAAGTGATGGCGAGCAAGAGCCAGAAATTACTGACGTTCCTACAGCACCAAAGTCTGTTACTCCTCCACCACACATAAGTTCTAACTTTTCAAAAATGGTCAAATTCTTACCCCAAAACCCACATATGCCTCTACATCCTTCCTTTAACGGTGCTCTTTCATTACTCCAACAACAAGTACTTCAAGAGCAGCATAACAACCAACAACAACATCATGCAATAAATAACGCAGCAGCTATGTATTTAGGCGTTAGTCACAAACTATTCATGGAACAAGAAGCCAGGCTAGCCAAAGAAGCAGCAATTGCTGCTGAACAACAACAGCGACAGCAGCAAGAACAACAACTGCAGCAACAGCAACAGCAACAGCAGCAACAACAACAACAACATCAGCAACAGCAGCAACATCAACAAAACATTCAGCAACAGCAGCAACATCAACAAAACATTCAACAACAACATATTACTCAACAACAGAAAACAATTGAGTCTCCCGAAAAATTACGTCAAACGTCACCTTTAACTCCTCCATTTCCAGACCTAGAACTTTTAGCTGACGCTTTAAAATCAGAAATTTCATCTACTTTGACAGGTCTCATTGATACTATAATGACAAAATTTGCCCAACAAAGAAAACAATTGAAACAAACAGATTTGGATAAAGATATGGACCGAAAATCACCCAGAACTAAAGTGATCGACCGCGGTAGTCACAGTGACCGAAATATTGGATTATCAAATGGCATGCCTGTAAAAATGAATGGCAGTTATCAATGTAGCAACGGTCTCTCCAACGGCCCAGAAATCAGAAATGGAATGGTTAATTCTGCGTGTTATAATGGAACCGGCCCGGAGAATACCATTAACCACGTCAGAGCTCCACCACAAATTTTCCCGCAAAAAATGCATGGATCTACTGGTTTAAGTAACGCAGCCGCTGCCGCAGCTTTATACTCATCCATGAGTGGGTTACCGTCTCATTTAAATCCATTTTGTGTTAAACACGAACCAGCGCCTGAACAGAATGAGGCACTTAGTCTTGTAGTAATGCCTAAAAAGAAACGACATAAGGTTACTGACACTAGAATCACTCCTCGCACTGTTAGTCGAATATTAGCGCAAGATTCAATGAACTCAATGGACTCAAGAGTACCATCTAATGGAACTTCGATGCTAACGTCTGATTCACCACCACCTCCAACATCCACACTTCGCTCTTTTCACCAACCTCAACAGCCACAACAACAGTCACAGCCTTCGGCTCCACCGCCGCCACCTATGATGTTACCAGTATCTTTACCCACATCAGTGGCTATACCCAATCCAAGCCTGCACGAGTCACAGGTCTTCAGCCCCTACAGTCCATTTTATACAAGTCAACACCAAGTACCACATCACATACCATCTTCGAGCCCGCCAGGCATGTCTGATTCGCCACCACCACCACACCAACACCATCACAGTTCTCTACTACACCCAGCTCTTCTCGCTGCCGCCCAGCACCACAATTCATCGCCTGATATGATGAGCATAAAAGCTCGAATGGACATGAGCATGGGTAACGGAGGCAATGACAGCATTGATCGAATTTCCGAGTGCAATTCTGGAGATGGGCCTTACGACGGATTGTCGCCTATAATATCCTTTTTTTACAAGAACCACATTTTTACATTAAGTATTTTGTTTATTATTATTATTACAAATAATTATCATTACAAACGCATTTCAATGATATCATAGAAATATTATAGGTCTAAAAAATAAATAGGGTATCAATATGACAATAAGTATATTAAATAAATCTTTTAGTATTAAGTATCTAAAAGCAAGGTAAAAAGCCAATCATTAGGATATCCTCTTATTTATTCCGTAAGAAGTTTGACAACTATTAATGTTAGGTGCATGTTTCATGCGAACTATAATCTAAAAATATATATTATTTATTTGTACCCTTATCAAAAAACAAAGCAGTTTATTGACATAGTGTCACATTACATTGTCATTCCACATTAATATTAAATTACATTTTCCTTCAATCATTTGAAAACATTTTTTTAAGAAAAACGTTTTTTTTATTAAACTTTCTTAGTAATATTACGATATAAAAATACTGTATTATTTAATAGTGTCAAAGTTTTACTATAAGTATTCGCCTTTTAATTTATATTAAAAAAATTTATATTATTCAAAGTGAATTCTAGAATTAAGAAACCAAAATTAAAATAAATATATTCAATAATTAAGGGATTTTCGTTACAAAGAGAACAGAGAGAAGCCTCAGAAAATTATATTACATAAACAAATGCGCGATGAAGTCCTATAAAAGAAGTAAAACTTGCGCGAATAATCGCATTACTTAGACGAAAGCAACTCTAAGATTTAAAAGCAATATCCTTGAACAATATTTTTATTCGTATTTGTTTGTACTAATAATATGTAATAAACATTCATTGAATTAACGACGAAATATTTTTTGTCGTACATTAAATATTAATAGACATTTTTCCATAACTGTTATGTTTACTCGTCTACCCTGACACCAATGCACTTGCGTAAAGCCAAATTGATGTTCTTCTGGGTACGCTATCCTAGTTCAGCTATCCTCAAGATGTATTTTCCAGATATTAAGTTCAACAAGAACAACACCGCACAACTAGTCAAATGGTTTTCCAACTTTAGGTAATATGCAGTTTTAATACATTATTTAGTTTTGATCCAAGTTTAGTAATTTATAACTTTTTGGTATCGTCATCATTAAACAAAAATAAAAATACTTCCTTAACGATTTAAAGACAAATAAAAAATCTTAGTAGAATTATGGTAAATTATACTATAATTATGCAAATGCGGTATACTTTACGGTGGAAACTTAAATATAAGTCGAAAGTACTGAATAAAACTAGTTTTGCAATCGAACCGCGAAAAAATTGTATAAATGCATACAATATTATATTTAACTCACGGTTGATAAAACACGAAGAAAAGTTTAGCATGTGGGTGTTAAATTAATTCTAGCTTTCTTTTCGCATCGATCTCCGTATGCGGGTAACGTTCTATATTTTCGAAAGCACCTGCACACTTAAGTGTTTCACTCCCTCAATAATACTTTCCGTAATATTATTTCACTGCTTCAGTAAAATATATATTTAATAATGTAATATAGTCAAGTTACTTACCATTATATGGAATACTTTCATAAAACGTTCTATGAAAAAATGAACTGTATGCTTAATTATTTCATTTTTCTTTTGCAGTAATCTCAATGGCTTACACTTTATTTAGCAAGTTTTTCTTTTCGCCAACCGTTAATATACATAGATCTGAAATACCGAGTACAGATTATAATTAGCGTAAACGAATAGTCATAGGTGGGGTATTAGGTTGTAATACAAATTCAAAACATTTTCTTACGGCTATAACAATATTAACATAACCCTGCGTGAAACACTCAAGCAATTTAAAAAGTAAAAAATTTCTATATATATCATCTCAAATTATAAAAGATGGTATAAAAATTTATTTTTGTTGAAATAAATAAAAATTGCGCAGCTTCTCTTTTTACATACATATTCAAAATGCATGTGACTATACATACCGGTTGGAATATCTTCGATAAAAATACACGTGTAAAATAGTTGTAAAGCAATTGGGTTTGACAAGAGTATACGAAAAACGGAATTCTTTAGTGTAAAAACAAACTATAGATTTTATTCACTTATAATAATACAAAATATATAAAGTACCTAAGCGTGAAGTGGTCTCCCAGACAAAACCGATTGGCTCTTCATTACTCTCATACACTCGCGTCTTTACCAATACTTTATACTAAATTTAATTAAAACATATAACATAACTATATGGTGTACACGTACTTTATAATCAGTCAAGTGTCGAATAAAAAGCGCAATACGCCGACGAGAATTGGATTTTTATTATGAATTTATTCGTTAATATTCTCTGAATTTAAAACATTATAGGCATCGTTACGGCTTAATAAAACATTGCAACCAACTTAAAGTGCAATAATTATGTATATATTTACAATGAATTATAATTTACAGAGAATTCTATTACATCCAAATGGAGAAATACGCTCGACAGGCAGTTAGTGAAGGTTTGCAAAGGTCTGAAGACATTCATGTCAACAAAGACAGCGAAATCTACAGGGTTCTTAATTTACACTATAATCGCAATAATCACATCGAGGTGAGTAATTAAAAGATGTTTTTTTATTATAAATACAGTTTATCATATAACATTATTTACGTTTGTTTATTTTATAATAAATAGGCGCCTGGAAATTTCGAGTACGTAGTACAACAAACTTTACGCGAATTTTTCGTAGCCATTCAAAACGGTAAGGACCAAGAACAGTCATGGAAAAAGTCTATATACAAAGTGATTTCTCGCATGGACGACACCGTACCGGAGTACTTTAGGTCTCCAAATTTCCTCGAACAGCTCGAATAAATATTTAATATATATATATATATGTAATTATTTGATTGTCGCGTCTGTAAACTGCAAACGTTTAGTTTTTATTTATTAATTATTATTATATACATAATTGTTTTTATTAAAAGCTCGGAAAAAGCTTATTTTATGACGGGTTATTATTAAATTCTATACATTGTTGTGTACAGTCACTTTGAAGACAAATTTTATAACATTCTTGTTTTAGTTCCGTTTTCAAATATTTTTATAAATTAAGGTGGTCTCTTTTGTACAAAGGTAAAACATATAATATTGTACAAAACTAAAAAATTGCTTTTGTTTATATTATTTTTATATTACTATAAACGTATATTTATATATTTAAAAAATCGAAAAAATATGTAATTGCTTTAATTAATGTATTTTAGTTATTGTAGTCTAATGTAAATAGATATTAAGAGACCTACTAAATATTATTTTAAAAAATTATTTATATATGTATATTATAAAGATTATTTGTCCTGTAATTTGATGGACACAATTATGTACACAACATAATTATAAATTAATTGTTAAATCTAAATTTTAATCACACGGGGTACCCTTTATTACTATAATTATTATTATTTTAATTATTTAACAGTGTCTAGATTAGGTTGTTATATCACAATTTAAGAGCACATTTAAAAAAAATTATATCGTCGATTGCCTACATATTATTATATTACACACCACGTCGGCATTCCCCACTCACGTGATCTCACTATTTCAATTTATGATTTTAGCCTAATTATTATTTTAGTTTATTTATTTATTTTATTTTATTTTTATTTATTTATTATTTTGGTGTGGTGAGTTTTTCCTAGTCAAATAATTAAAAGATCAGATGAAAAATTCTATTATAATCTTACTGTTTTTTTCTTTTAGCATTGTCCTTTTTTATTTTTATAAGAATTTAGCTAGCGGTACCTCAATAACTGTGACAAGATTGATTAACAGTTTACAGACAATTAATGTTTACACGACCAAATACAGATTTAATATCAACATTTACAGTATTTCAAAATAATTATGTATAAAACACTTACAGACAAACACTAATATATTGTATACATTTAACACACAGATAATTCATTATTACATACCAAAAGCAAAAATAGTAATAATAAATCATAATACACATACTTAATAGTACTATTATAGTCATTATCTCATATATTTTGCACTCAAAAAACACCATTTAGAGTACAAACAAATTAAATTCGGATTATTTTAATTTTAATTTTTAATTTGACTTTTTTTTTTACTTTAACTGTATTACTTTTTTGGAATGATTGTACATTTAAAATTATTATTTTGAACATCTATCAAAATTCTAAAACATTGACCAATCCGGAAATTAATAAAATAGACTAATTATTCAAAATAATAGTACATAAACTACAACTTTTTAAAATAAAAAATAGTGTTATACTTGACATAATCCAATATGACTGAGTATTGCAAACAAAAGTGATAAACGATTTTACAATAATGATAAGACATAAGATACAAATGAACCGAAAAATAAACTAAAAAATTAATAGAATTTATATTCACTTACAGTATAAATTTAACATCAAGCGTAGTTATTTCAAAACCAGTAATAGATATTGAAGTCATAACTAAATCATTAACCGAGGAGTCAAAACCCTAACATTACTAAGGCTCCAGAATTCACATTTAATTCAGACACAAAATCAACAGTCTACAACAATCTCCTGAGACAATAGCATTCTACCATAGTAAAACACTAAAAACAGGGGAAACATTTACATAGTTTACTACCTACAACTAAAATATAAATTTTATATTTAACCAGTGCAATAGATAACAATGTGATCTGTAAAACAGATCCGCCAAAATACCATGTGTTATTAAATTAACTTCAATAACACATCCATTCACAATGGTGGCAAGTAGATTATTATAATTATATAATTTTGTAATTGATATATTTTTCACTTATTCCATAATGATAAGATTTTTTTTGCAGTTTATTAATCAAACACAATGTATTGATTTTATTTTATAACTATATACTTAAGTTGAAACGATTTTTTTTGTTCATACGTAAATTTACAAAAAAAAATCGAAACTGATAGTCTTAAATTATTAATATTGTTGTAATATTTTTTGAAATAGTTAAACTGTTTTTGAGTGTGCTAGGATAATTAAACATAAACCAATTACTCACATAGTCATATGCAGTGCTATAATAGATAAATAAAAGTTATGCCCTGGGCTACATATAAGTTAAGTTTTATTTTTTTTATGACTTGTAAAATATAGCTTACAGAGTTTTGATATTTTTTTCAAGACTGATTTACCATGTTAAACATTCTACTTGTTTTTAGTTACTGTTAAATATATTGTATTTTTACAACCTTCTTTTGTTGATCAAATAATTATTAAAAGTTATTTTTTATCCAATATTAGTTTGTAGTTCTAAGAATATAACTTTTAATATTTAAGACATTTTAATCAGTGATTTATTTATAATTTTTGTTATTATTACTTTCATTAGTACATGCTAATTTATTTAGTAATTTTAATTCAATGAGTTTTTTTGCAATAGATAGCCCAGGGTATCTAAGTAATACATTTTGTTAGCAATTTTATTATTATTACATTTTTACTAATTAATCATTAAATTGTTTACACATTGTAAAACTAAAAGTAATATTAATGTATGTGTATATTCTGAACATTTTACACGTGTCTTTTTTTAATTAGTTAACATATATCACAGTAATATCGTGTATATGTAATATTTGTTTTTGTTCAACCTTATTATTTTTTTAAGATAAGTATTTAAAACAAAATAAACTAACGATCCAAGAATAAATAATTTTGTTTTCATTTCTTAATCCATGTATAGAATTTTATTAAGAAAAGTTACATTGATTTGAAAGACAAAAACGATTAAAGTTTCACATCCGCTATTAAAAAAAAAAACAATTAAACTCTAGTGATGCAGAGAACCGCTTTTCGACAACCTTAATCAACATTCTTTGTATTAGTTTTCTACCGTGTACATTCTTCAAAATGTTTCGAGAAACTCACAAAAGACAAACTGCATCATCAAACTCCTTAATCCATATATTAAGCAACACAAAAACCACGAAGTATATAGAATAATTTATTTGTGAAGACTTTTTTAGTCTTCATATATGAATATACAAATTATGGTAAAAGTGGAAAATTGAACATTTTATACATAACTAAATAGAGTGCGGTCAATGTAAAATATTCTCATCCCTTAATATGCTGTAATTTTGATTAACGCTAGCTTCACGATTTCTCTTAAAATAATTATATCAGAAAATTATTTTTGGTATTTTTTATTGTCGTGTATCTCTTGATTTATCAATTATTTATTATTAATTCAATCCTTAAACCTTATAAGGCGTCAACTTTATTTTTCTTGGTGTCAATATACTTATTTAAATATCTTATATAATAAAAATTAATTAAAAAGAAAAAAGAAAATGACTGATAGATAACAACTTTCGATCCATTTTTCGAAAGTTATTACCATTTTAAAATATAAACTGTCGGTGGTGCGTGGGTATGACAATATTTATCATTGGACTTATATACTGAAATTAAATCTAAAAGTTATAAAAAATAATTCTAAAAAGTAATTAATAACTGATAAATGAGTAATATATAACACTAAAAATACCAAAAATAATATCCTTATCATAATTATTATTTACTGCAAAAAGTATTTTACTTATAAAAACGCTGACTACATATAAAATTAAAGGATATGATTTTTTTTTATCTTTAAATTGACAATTCTGAAGAGAAAATAAAATAAGTTATTTTAAAAAAATTATATATATATATAAATCATGTTTTTAGAGGTTTTCGCTGATTAAGATAATCAATATAAATGATAAAATAATGAACAGTACGAAATCCACTTGTCCGAATTTTTCTTTTAGACGATTCATAAAGTTTTTTGCATTTTCCAAAGTATAATAGTTAATCATTTTTTCGCAAATAGTTGGGATGTGATTGTTCATGTATTGTTTGTTCAGATTTGTAAACAGAATTTGATGATTTCTAGTCGTCTAATTTGTATAAATCATTTAAAGTACAATTTAGGTCATTGCATATCAACGTCATAATTTTTTAAATTTTCGATGTTAATAATTCAGTGCAATATCTCAAACAGTTATAAATTTTATTTTTTTTGGTAATTCCAATTAGTAATTGAGTTGAGTTGACAAAAATTTGTTTTATAGATTGATTTCTCCTTAGTAAAATGTTCAATGATTTTTATAATTGGATTGATGGCCAAAATATTTAAAAAATTATACATTATATTTAACCAACATTAAGTATATTTAATAACTTGATATTTTTTAGTGCTCAAGGTATAAAAAATATTTCCACTTTAGCCTTAACATAATGACATTAAAAATCGATTTTATTTTTATAATACTTAAAATATTGAATTTGATCAGATAGCCAAATTTCGTGTTTAATAAAATTAAGAAAAAGATTTGAATAAGATTAGAAGAAGTTATTGATACATTTTATTTCTATGTTATATTATAATTGTATAATTTAACTTAACCCTTTAATTCATACTAAAAAACTAATAATAAATATGTGCTAATATAATAGGTTCCACTATATTATAAATAATTACATATTATATACAGAAATGCACTTAATGTTTTTATTTTTTTGGATTATTTTTGTGTTTATTATTTACAATTTAGCTCTTAGTCAAAGAAGTTATTATGTTTTGTTTAAAGGGGGTGTTAGTCCCAGTAAAAAACGTTAAGGTGAGCAGCGGTCGACTTTATTTTCGTTGCCTCTAATATACGTTCACAAAATTACATTTGATTTAATCAAAATAAAGCTCTATAATTTTTCTCACTAATTACACACAAATACTATTTAGGTTTAAAAAAATGCGTTCGTAATCCTTCTTCCACCCATGGGTTCGAGTAAAACGTAACAACCAGAACCGGTTCATAAACTGTTTTTGATATAAATATAAATTAAGAAACCAGAAACTTAATCAAAAAACTTAAATCACGACTTTTTTTTTTTAAAGTCCCACAAAGAATTTGAATTTGATCAAAAACCAGTCAATCTAAAATTTAGTAAATAACTCATCACTGTATTAATGTTCATGTTTTTTTAGTTTGACCACTATCTTAAATTCTAGTAAAAACTATAAAAATGATAATAAAGTCCCCCATTTAAGTAAAAGACAGTTAATAATAACGGTTATTTTAAAATAGTAAAAACTCAATTAAGGCTAAAAGTTTAAAGATAAACTAAAATCATAGTGATCAAATCTCAATTAAAATCATAACAAAGTGACTAAAAAAAAATTCATTAATCTTGACTATCATTGAACTTAATTGTTAACAATGATTCCTATTAAGTTACAAGTAGATAAAATTTAGTGAAATCTCGAAATCTAATGTTTAGCATTTCGGTTAAATTAATATGACTGATAAAATAAGTAATAAGTAATCAATACAATTAATTTTATTTATATTTAGGTTTAAATGCAAATATCTCTCATAAATACTCAATTACAAAATATATGATTATTATACTAATATTTATTTGATATGTTTACTAATATATTACGTTCACCTAAATCTTTATCTATATCTAAATTGGCATAAAATAAAACAAAAAATGAAAATTTACGAAAATTTGAAGGCGACAAGTATATAAAAAAGATACATATCTTATGCTTTCATTCTAATTTAGTAATGTTTTTTGTGCATGAACTTTAAATTATATTGACAATACTTCAACCATTTTATTCATACTCAACCTTATATCTGTATATTAAAAAAAAATATTCCATCAAGATTATTTGATTTTTTAAGATCATTGCTGTTAATTTAATAAGATAATTCATCATTAAAAAAACTTCAAAATTACAACTTTTAATGACACCAAATTAAAAAAAAAATTGGTAAATGAAAAAAGTATTTTGTAGTGTACCATGGTTAGAATATAGTACCATGAACCTGTGATAGGATAACATGATAAGTCGTCATCAAAATTAATTGATAATAAAAACCAAATGATAATGTATGTAACATTAGTTCTACATATACTAGACTTTAATTTTCTATTTTTGTATTTAGTGAAATAATTTTTACAATGTTTTAAAACTGAATCAAATTGAAAATGTCAAAAGTTTCTATTTTGAATTCGGTATTTTCGGATATCGAAAAATTTTCTTCAGCTGAAGAGTATAGGAGAATAATAAAACTTGCTGAAAAACGTAAATATTTCTTTAAATCATTTTACATTGCGCAACTCATTATTTTCTACTATATTTTATACATTTTTTATTAGATATACCGCAATATCCAGAAGAAATATCATTAATTCAGGCTAAGGTTGTAAGTTTGGTTCATTTGAATGAAGTTCAAGATGCATATAATTTTATTCTTAAACACGAATCAAAACAGTAAGGTTTATAACTATTAATGTTTTAATTTTGATTATGTATCTATTTTATTAAATTTAGGACTTTTGCTTTTGAAAAATCATACTGTCTTTATCGCCTAAATCGACCAGAAGAAGCATTGCAAATAATTAATGAAGAAACTGAATTGGAAGATAATTTTAAAGAACTAAAAGCTCAAATTTTATACAAATTGGAAAAGTAAATATTTTTAATTTTTAAACCACAGTTATCGTTTTTAATTATGTTTTAAATTTTAGATTTAATAAGTGTTTTGATTTATATCGGGATATTATTAAGCAAAGTAAAGACAGTTTCACAAATGAAAGAGAGACTAATCTTACAGCTGTAATTTCCCAACTTTCAAAATTAGGAGAGGTAATTTCATTATTCATTACAATGTATTTATGATAACTATGTATACTTTTTTCCATTTGATCCATTACAATATAAAAAGTAGAATAAATTATAATGTTTTTTTGAAAATATTTTTATCTTATCTTATTTATTACAAAAATTATTTTGATGTTCTTTTATCTCTTGAGTTAATAGATAATTAAACTAAACTAAATTCACAAATAAACTATTATTGAAGGTTTTAATATAAACTTTTATCTTAGTAATATTTTATTTATATGTTTCTACTTTGACAACAGTATGCATAATGATAATATATAGTAAATCATCTTCATAAATTCAAAGTGTAATGATAAGTATGTTATTGTAAGAAAATTAACGTTCATTATTTCAATAATGAACTTAAATAATAATCCAAATCCACATATGATTTTAACCTATATGAATATAATAATTTTAATGAAATCAACAAACTCAAAAAAGTTAAAATACTTAAACATAATTTTCTTTATTTTAAACAATGAGTTTTTTAAAAATTATTCTTTGTTTAAAAGTAAGTGATTTATAGTTTCTAAGGAAAATGACTAATAAATACAAGAATTTATTCCAAAATTTTATAATATTTTAAAAAATATAATTTAGCTCCAATAGTAGATGTTAATAATTGTGTTAATTTTACAATATTATTTTTTAAAGTTTCATATATTATTTTACTTCTACACTTCACATATTTATTTTTCTCTAGATTCTTTTATAAAATTTATTTAAAAATTAAATTTTATATTTTATAGTTAATAGATGTAAACAATTTTCAAACTGTTGCATTAATGTTTATTGAAGGGGCTTTAAAAGATTGTTTTTTTTTTTTTTAATTAATATTCTTCTTACAATAGATATTACAGTTAATTAAATTTGTGTTATTTATATTTTAGAAAAAATGTGATGTTCCAAACGTGAAACCTGATAATACTTATGAATTTTTATATAATATTGCGTGTGTATTAATTGAAAGAGGTGATTTAATTAAAGCACAAAATTTACTTGATCAAGCAGCTAAAATGTGTAGGAATACTTTAGAAGAAGAAGAAGCTACAGAAGAAGAAATAAATGAAGAATTGACTGCTATAAAGTATACTTTTTTATTTTAAGATTTATTATAAAACTTGTATAAAATGTTTTATAGTGCTAGGTATAAAATTATAACATTTTGTACTGTACTACACACTTTATAATTTATTGCCCTTTTTTTTTAATAATAATTTTGGCTAAACTGATATTATGATATGTTTTTTTTATTAATTAAAAGACTCCCCTACAACATAAAACATTTATTATAAAAAAATATTTAAGTGGTAGAAAATTTTTAGAAAATTATATGTCAATATGAACCAAAACGAAATATCCTTTGAGGATATAGGATAATTCTTTAATGGATGTACTTATTTGTATACACAATAATTTATATTTATTTATAATATTTAACTGGCTTATAAAACTCTTTAATTATAATATTAATAATATTACATAATTATAAAATCTCTTCAGTTTTTTTTTTTTTATGAATATTAATAACTGCTAAGTTTTATTAACCAAATAAAATTCATTGAACTTTCATAATTTTCTTACTAAAATAATTTTTTTTGTTTTAGAGTTCAAAATGCTTATTGTCTTCAAAAATTGGGTTCTGACAAAGAAGCACAAACTGAATACTCTGATGTGTTGAAAAACAAACCTAAAGATATTGGATCTCTAGCTATTGCTTCAAACAACCTTGTTGTATTAAATCGAGAACATAATGTATTTGACTCAAAAAAAAAACTCAAATCAACTTTGTCTGATGAATTATCTTTAAAACTAAATACATGGCAATTGAAGAAGATTAATTTGAATCATTGTCGTTTTGCTTTAATTACTAATCAAGTATATTTCTTATTACTTTTAAAATTAAAAATATAACAAAATTATATTAATTTTAAGTAGTTTTAATAAATTAAACACATATACAATATATATTTTTAATATTTTATTCTTAGCTATTTGAATTTTTTATGGATCATAAATGGTTATATGTATTATAAACTTCTGTTTTTTTTAATAATTTCATAACATTTTTGGATAATTGATTTGTTTTAGTTTGAACAATGTGTACAAATGTGTGATTCAATTGAAAAAAATTACCCTGATTTGATTGAAAATATTGTTATTATCAGAGCTTTTATGTTATGGCGCCAAAATAAAAATATAGAAGCTCTTGAAGTCTTGAAAAAATTTATTTATCAACAAAAAAACCCTTCCGATAAACTTAACTGTACTTTAACTGCTGTTAAACTGTTACTAATCCAGGTATACATTTGCAAAAATATTTAAGAGCTAATATTAAAATTAAAAGATGTTTTATTGCAAATTGTAATTTTTTTTATTCAGAACATTCTTAAAGAAGCTTGTGAATTACTTGAAAATCTTGGAAATTTAAAATATAAACTTGGAATTGTTAGTACTCTTGTGACATTGTATTTGAATCTTGGAAATGTTAAAGCAGCAACTGATTTGTTTAATGAAACATTATCATGGTATAGCCAGAAAGAGGTAGTGCATTTTAAACATACATTTTAAAAACAATGTCTCATAATTTTTAAATTTTATATAAAGTTAGATAATTTGAAAACTACAATTTTACTGAAGCAACTTGCAAAACTCTTATTACGTGAACAAGATCCTAAAGAAGCAGCAAAACGTTTATCTCATCTATTGGAGCTAAATCCATCAAATAAAAAATGTTTAGCTCAACTAATAATAGCTTATGCCCAGGTAGATTACCATGTATCTAATATTTACTAATTATTTTTTTACTTAAATACTTAATTTCTATAAATAAAAACTAGAAAAACCTATTTTTATTCATTTTTGTAATTGATTATAAAAAAAACCATACTGATATTTATTTAAATTCACACAATTTTTAACTAATTAACTTATATATCTTATTATTATTTTATATAAAATAATATCTTTATATATATATATATATATATGTTAAAACTTTAATATTAATAGTTTGATCCAGTGAAAGCCCAAAAATACAGTAAAGAACTTCCACCATTAGATCTACAAGATGCAGACATAGATGTACTTGAAAACACAAATTGGATGATGGGGTCAAAATTAATAAAAAAATCAAATCTAAAACCGGACACTGCTGGGTAAAAAATGAATCATTTTTCATTTTTAATTATAAGTATCACAGCTTAATACAATTCTTCAAACTTATTGTATAACAATAATTTTAAAAGAACCTTGATCTCAATATATTAGCTTCTTTTAATCTTAGTGTTAAAAACCATATATATACAATATAGGTTAAAAATAAATTATATTTTCACAACAATTAATTTTCCTTAATAACCTCATTTTCCCTAAAGTTTTAATAACGTCGACAATTATTTTAATTTCATACAGAATGATTCCTTTATTATTAGTCTCTCATTTTCTCTTATAATAATAGTTTTTTTAGAATTACTTTTTTTTAGCATCTGATAAATACATATATCTCTATTTATCTGTTATAAAATATTTTTTTTATGTTTATCCCTTATACAAATGGCAACGTCTTATTATATAATAGAACAAGGAAAAAAACACTTTTCTAAGAAAATTACTTAGCGTGCTCGGATTTTCAAAAATTTTTTTTCAACGAAAGTACTCATTCACCAGACTCCAGGAAAATTATTGTCGAACGTCGGAAAATTTTTGCCGCTCGCCAGCGACCGTTTTACGACTTAAGGTTTGAAATTTTCATCAGACCCGCCCAATGACATTCCTGATTTATGGTAAAAAAATCTATTCAATCCGTTTATTTTTTACCGTTTTACCGAGCTTTTTTTTTTTTTTTCCCACGCGCATGGTTTTTATATGCGCAGTGATTCATTTCTGCTCATACGTTTATTATGAACCTTAATTATGTGGTGTAATATGTATTTTTATTAGAACACTATTTTGCATTTGCACATAGTATGAGTCTATTAGTTTATCGTTTAAATTGGGATTCATCTATAACAACTATGCTGCCCAACGTTAAATCGCAGTTACCAATATTTTTATTAAAATTAAATTTTTTACATAGTCCTACGTATAATAACCTGCTGAATTTTTTTTTAATTATTCTATAATATAAACAATTATTATAATTAGAATATTAATAATTATTGTGTATACCAAGGGTGTATTTAAGTAAGATATGGGCTCCCCTTGATCCAACGCTATCAATATTTTTTTAGGCAACTTCTAATAAATAAGGACCTAATGTCCTTTTTTTTCATCATTACTTTAATTTTTAGCAAAAAAAATTGTATAACATGTTTAACAAAGTAAAAAATATTAAATACCCTCCTAAAATAATTTTTGAATAGGCCTAAAGGGAATACCTCAAACGTCAACCTTATACCCAATACATTTTACTATATTCTCTTTTTGAATTTTCCTGATTTTAATAATAACATTTTTAATATATTTTTGTTACACTGATTCTAATGTAATATTTTTTCTGCAAAACACTTATCGTGCCCAGCATAGCCGGGTACCCCTACCGGAATCAGTGGCCTACTTATGATGAGGGCTCAAAGAGGCTTACGCGCCGTAGGCGCGTAAGGCTCGTAGGGCTCCAGGTTCAGGAGCCTCAGCTAGGCGGAGCCTAGTATATATTTAACTTGCTTATTAAATAGAAAATTAAGTAACTATGAAAATAAATGATTGATAACAACTTTTAAAGCAGTATTTCAAGAATTATTAACATTTTTATAAATGGAAGGAGGAATGAGAAATGTCTTTTGATTAAAATAACTGCACTTGTGCCACCCTCCAGTGAATACTTTAAATTGTTAATAACTCCTTAAATAATTGTCCATAAGTTGTTTTCAACCAGTCATTTTCTTAATTATAACATTTCTTATTTTATAAGCAAATTAAATAAGTATATTGCTATTTAAAAAATAAAGTTGACATTCCTCTAAAACATAAGAGTTGAACATAAATATTTTGTAACATATAAATACGTAACTAACAGTTGTTATAAAATAAATTCTAAACAAATTATTATTTTAAGAAAAATCGGTTGGTTAATATTAAAAAATCACTTTGTATATTTCTTTATTTAAAATTATTAAGTATTTTTTTGTTGCATCTATTGTATATATAATACACATTATGTATCTAATAAAGATATAAACATTATTTTAACTTTATAACTAGTAAAAAAAATATGTTACTATTATAAAAAATAGAGTCCATATTGTTATAAGGCATAAGAGTTATACTTTGGAACTTAATAACTCATAAATCAAGAAATATGTGTTACTAGAAATGACAAAAATATTCCCTATATCACAATTTCAAGATATTTATTCTAGTATAAAATCAATTTCTGTAACTATTAAACAGATTGTATTGTTTTTTTTTTTACTCAATTATATTTTATTAGTTCTATAAAATAATGTATTCTTCCAATTATTTAGTGTTCATAAAACAGAAATGGAAAAGAAACGCAAAAAAAAGAGAAAAATAATACTACCTAAAGATTTTAACCCTGACATTCCACCTAATCCTGAACGCTGGTTACCAAGGCATGAACGTACAGGATATCGTAAGAAAAAGGATCGAAGGAATAAAGATACTGGAATTGGAAAAGGAACACAAGGTGCTAGCAGTGAAGCTACAGAAAAATAGTGAGTTTATATGGTTAATACATAAAAAAAATATTCTTCAAAAAAAAAAAAAAAATTTCTTTTTATAATCTTTAAAAATATTAATTATAATTTATTAAATAATATTTGATGATAACAATTAGATCAATTACTAAAAAAAAATTAATCACTTATTGATTAATTATTATATACTAAGTATTCAATAAGTTTGGAAACAACATTTTTTAAGGGTAGTACCTTTACACTTATTAAAAAAAAAAGTGTATTTATTTTTATTACAAAATATGCATTAAATTATTAAAGTGATCTTTACAAAATATTTAGGAAAAAATAATTAGTAGCTTCTATATTTGATTTGAGGTATTATAATTAAGCATTTCCAAATTTATTGAAAACTTTAATTTGAATAAATTATTCAACATATATAATGGCTTAAAATATTTTTAGCAACATTAAAAATATTGCTGCTCAACCCAAAGCTCAGATTCAACCAAATGAAAACGCACCTAGGTTGCAACACCGAAAAGGACAATTTAAGAAGAAGAAGAAGGGAAAATAAAAAATAAATTAAAACTCAATGTATTCATCTGTATTTCAAATAAATCCAATATTCTTTAATTCTATAACATATCTAACAGTTTTATATATTAGTGATTTTTTCCCATTCCACATTTTGTTTTTAATGAAAACTGAAAAAAAACAATAGCTTCTTACATGTACAATACAATATTAAACTTATATTTATTTACATATTATACAAGTGTATTTTGGTAATTTGAAAATAACTTTATGGTGAAGTTACTTTGGTTGCCAATCCCACTTTTTGTTTATAGTAGTCTGGTTTGATCAGACATTCTACCATAAATTTAGCTAAATCGAGTTTTGAAATGGCTCGACCCGGAGATGAACCAATTTCAACATTATAATCCCCAGATGGGGTATCTGCTATGTGAGGTGGCATAACAGCTATCCAGTTTAATCCTTCGGAGGACTCTAATAGATGTAACATACGTTCATGGTCATCATTTATACCATGAAACATTGCTGGTACTTTAGACTTCTCATAAAATAAAAATGCTAAAAAAAGAAGTACCACTTAAAATAATTTAAACAAAAATAAAAAATAGTTATTACTTGATAAACAAACTGAAACTGTTTTTACATTATTTTTTTTCATAGCAGATAAAATATTTTTTAATCCGTCTGACATTATTGTAGTTGGACCTAATTTTTATGGATGAATAACATATTATAGAGATAACTTAATTATAGATTATATTATATTATATAGATAATTTAATTTTATCTCTATATACATATTATATATTTAAGGTACACTGGAAATTATTTACTAACTCAAATCATTTCGTGTGCCCAAAGTAACAACAATAGCATCTCTTCCCTCAACTGTCTTATCAACATCTTCTGTAACTAGTACATCACCAGTAATGACTTCTATCTGATTTCTTAATGATTCTGGTAAACGAGATGGATCTCTTATTAATGCTCTTACTTCTAGACCTATAAATAAATTGTAACAAATTTTAAAACTTGTATTTAGCATAACATATTAAAATTAAATTAATTAAGTAATTATCATACATAATCTAGTTGACAAAGATTGTAATAGTTATAACTAGTATTTATTGAAGAACTACTGGCAATTAGTTATCTAACTACACTTGATTTATATTTATAGATGTATCCATATTTCCAAGTTAAGATATGAGTATATATATATATAAATATATTTTTTTTTATAATTAAGCATCATGTTAACTAACCATATTGTGGCAATATTATATTAAAATGTTATCATTATTATATGACAATATTATTATTAAAAATCAGTGTTGGGAAAGTTCCTTTTTAAATGGAATTCGTTCCGTTCCCCGTTCATTTTCTAAAATATGAACTCGTTCCAGATCCTAATTCTTTATATTAAGAAGGAACTTGTTCCAGATCCAGTTCCTCCAAAATAAGAACTCGTTCCACTCTTCGTTCCTTTTATAAGTTATTTAAAAAATTGTGGCAATGAGATCATGATAACGGTCATCAATGATTTTCATCAGCAGTCGAATACAAAACAAATTTGTAGTATTCCTTATCTAAAAGTATTCGAAAATTATATTTATAAGCAGGTAGTAAATGCTAACGACTTGTGTCAACGCGACCAATGTCTATTGTCTACATATAAGTTAGAAATAATAAATCAGAAAACCCAAAACCTTTAACATAAATTAGTTAACAAGAAACGACGATAATATTCGGTGCATTATTTAATATATGTACACATATATTAAATATTTACTGTATACCTACATGTGATAATAACTCTATCTATAGTCAATTGATTCATTTAAACAGCCTACGATCTCGGCTGGGTATATAGGGGACTTCCATTGTCAAAAGTCAACTAAAAATACCATAATATTTTAATGTCTAGATACGAAGAAAACTACACTAAAACATGTTTATAAAAATTTTTAGGAACTGTAATTTCCGTTCACGTTCCTTAAAAAATGGAATTTGTTCATTTTCCTCGTTCCTTTATTTTAAAAGGAAGCAGTTCCTAGCATCGTTCCTTCAAAAAGAACTCGTTCCAGGAATCCGTTCCTTTTGGAACTAGTTCCTTCTCAACATTGTTAAAAATTACCTTGCTTTAGAGCTGCTTCTACAGTACAGAGACCAGTCATTCCTGTACTACCAAAAATTGCAATTTTCTTCATTTTGTTTAAATTTGTTAAAAATGCTCGGATACCTATATTTAAGCAATTTAATAAACTTTAATTTGATAAAGGGCGTAATAAATAAAATACAAAAAGAATTAATTAATACTTATAAAAAACTTTTTCAATAACCCATATCCGGCTATTCGTTATCAGTAAGGATAACATGTTATTATCAATATTATGTCTAGTGTTGCCAGTATTTTAACAAAATAATTCTAAAAAGTAATATTGATTTTACAAAAAAGTCTTGGTTTTAATTTTTAAAATGTATTTTAACTCATCATTCAGTTTTTTATTAATACAATAAAAAAAATCCAGATGATAATCCAGACTCCAAATAGAGTCACAGCATAGTTTGTATAGATGATATTTGACAGTGATTAACATTACTATGATAAAAAACGCTTCGCTGCCAATCTATTAAATTTCACATTAATTTGTATATTTGTTAAGTCACTATTTCTATGTTTTAAAATATAATTAAAATATTAAATGCTCGTTAAATTATTTGTTTAATTGAAAATAAAGTTGTTTTTTTTTTTTCTTTGACGACCTATTTATCATGGTACAATATACAGGGTGTTCAGTAAGTCAGGAAACGGGTTTCTATTGTTCTCATTGTTACAAACACTTACTGAACACCCTGTATACGTACAAAATTTTTATTTAGTATTAAAGTAAATTTCAAGAGTTTTAATAAGGGTTAGAAAAACGCAGTCGTTTCAAAAAAATTTCAAAAATCCAGTTGAAAATAAAATTTTTTATGTATGGATCGTCTCTTCCCAACTGTTTCTATACATAGGCTTTTTATTGAATTTTCACAAAAAGCATTCAAAAAAAAAAAAGTTTATTGTCTATTCAATAATTTAACCTATGAATACCCAAAAATATAACTTGTCAATGAAAAAATGAAATTTTATTTTTTCAGGAAAAAACTTATTGAAACTTAGATCTCGAAACTTGACCCTACACGCCTCAAATATAAAATTTGTAAGAGTAACTCTTTTAGTTATTTAAAAAAATTTGTTCATCCTTACCACAAAATATTAACACCACTTGACTAACAAGTAAAATATACTATAAATTAAGTCCACAAAATAGACGAGTATATGTATGTGTTCATCTAAAATGTTAGAATGATATAATTTTTAGTAGGGTTATCTTTTTTTTGTTACTTGATATGATATAACCTCTTGAAAATTAACAACAACATATAAGTAAAATTAGGAAAATATTTTAATTATACAAAGTATTAAAAAAGTAAGAAAACAGTTCAATTGTTACAAAACAATGAGAAAAATAGAAATTCGTTTCCTTACTTACTGAACAACCTTATAGTTATCAATTACTTCTACTAATTATTCAAATATATTTGAAACTTTTAATTAAATGTACAGAGTGATTCCATTTATCATCATCCAATTAGTTAATTAAATAATGAAACAATAATTGAAATTTTTTTTAAGGTGCATGTTTGAATTAAATAAACAATCATAAAGTATTTTTTATGTTTATGCCTTATACTTTATAAGAGTGTCAACTTTATTTTTTCAAATGGTAACATACATAACTAACTAGTTTATTTAATAGATAGAATTTAATGATATGAATAAGAATATAACTTGGAGATAACACCTTTTAGACCAATATTTCAAAAATTAATAAATTTATACCTTGGCGGGAGGAGAAGTGTGACCAAGAAATGTCTAGTAATCAAAATAGCAATACTGCGTTTTATCTACAGCCATTAATTTAAACGATAATAACTTCAGAAATACTGATAGCAATTTTCTTTATTCAATCATTATCCAATAGATAAACTACTGAATTATATATGTTGCCGTTTGAAAAATACATACAGTTGACACCACCCTTATAAAATATAAAAGATGAATATGAAAATTACTTCATGTATATTTAAAAAGCATCATATAACTTAAAGAATACAAAAAAACATTGTAATATGTATTATTTATTGAAATAAAATAAAACAAACATATCCTAAAGTCTAATTATAAATATATTAGTAACTACTAGTTTAACTAAAAGCAATCTACCAAATTTTTTAATTTACTAAAAAAAATATTTTATTCAACCGTACTTTAAAATACCAAATTTAAAATATAAAAATTTTTACTTGCAATATTTTTTTTGAGTTTGTTCATGTGACTGTTTTATGATTTATATAGTCTCCTCAAGAGGCCTTGTAAGTACAACTTAACAATGGAATGATGTAGCTTAGGGAGGTTGTACCTCCACTTTGCTTCACGAAATTCATATAACGATCTAATTATTTACTTAAAATTTTACTATTAGATAGATAGATTTTGAGCGAAAAAAATGAGATACTTTATCTGGTATAATCTCGTAGAATGTTCAGTATGTAAAGAAACGGGTTTTTATTGTTCTTATTGTTTGTAACAACTGACCTGTTTCCTTATTTACTAAACACTCAGTATCTCTTCCAGAATGCTACTAAAATAAGGCAAAATAAATTTAAGATGTGACGAATTGTAAAAAATATTAAACGAGTATTTTAACTACCTAAACAATATTACAATAGTTAAAAAAAGAATAAATAAATTCCTTCAACTTCAATTTTTCTTAATAGGTAATCGTAATGTCAAACCGTCATTTATATTGTATTTGTAACGGAAATATATTGATTTTTATTCTTTCATTATAGATAAAGATGAGGTCAATATGTCTATTTTTACATAGTATTTCGTGAGAAAATGTTGTTCTGAGATTAAATATAATACGTCTTAGATTTGATTCTTGGGTCAATTTTAACTTTTCATTCAAAACCGGAACACCAAATTCATAAATATTCGGCGCCTCTGTTGAGCCATAGCCACTTATCCCTTGGGTTGGGTCCTGTTTATTGTTAAAACATTCAACTGTACACCGTTGGAAATATGTTCTTGGAATTTTTTCTTATTTGTGACGAGAGATGAGGGGGGCGTGTACAAGGGAATCACCTGTTATTGAAAACCATCTGTATAACAATGTACTTCATAAATACCTGTAGAGATGCTGTGTAACCGTCTTTTCGTATAATTTCTTGTATCCTTTACTCAGGATTTTTAAATTTAACGATATATTCTAGAGACACAAAGAAATCTAAAAATGGTTAAAAAAACTGTAAGATTGACCATTTTTACAACCATTTATATAGTAATTTTTTTTTTTCACTTATTTATATTAAAATGTTTCAACAAATTAATGTTTTTACAAGTATGCATCTGCAACTAATTTGAATAATGTGTATTGTATTTAAAGAATACCTTTACAAGTATGTAACGGATAATTTAAAAAAAAAATTATGTTTTAATATAGTTACTAAATCTATAATAAATTATTTCATAGGAATTTTGTAATTTATTTTTATTTTCTAGAAAACTTTAAAGGTTAAAACGTCATAACTACCATGAAAGAGCTTAATATGAACATTTGGCAAAATGCCGGAAATATCTATTACAAATTTTATAATATAAAATAGTGCTATGTACCAATACACATTAATTTATAGATTTATTATGGTCAAGGTTTAACCCAATTTTATCTTTTTTTGTTAAGTAGCAGTTACTATAAAGCTGAGTTAACACTTTAATGTATATCTTTAAGTAAATTTTGATTGCAATGTTAATATTAACAATTTGTTCAAATATACTGTGAGTAGCACATATGCATTAAGTTATTTAGTAACTCCTCTTTATTATGTTATAAAACAAATTATGAAATAAATAAGTTTTTTTTTTAATTTGATGTTTTCAATATAAACACTTATGAATTGGTATGAAACTAAAAAATAATACACTAGCGTGCAGTATTTAATTTTATAGTAATTCTAAAAAAAAATATTTTGTTTAATGAAATGAAATTAAAAAAATTAATGAAATGCTCATAAATTTTTTACATGAAGAAATTTCAATAGGAATAAATATACTACTTCATAAAAGTACTAATACAAATTATAGATAGTATCGATATTAGAGAGAAGATATAAATGAGGGAAAATGAATTTATAAATTATTCATTATTCAAATAACGATAATGGTAAATGTGTTTTGTACTATTTTTCATGTCAATATTATAACGTGAATAATTTAAAGACCCCATACGGGATATTTTAACAAAAATAACTAATAGTTTTAAAAAATACTACACAATGAGAAGATTCTATAATATAATATGTTTATAATTTTTGTTGTAACTGATATCATTTAACTAGTTTTAATTTTTTTCTAGCACATTCTTAGAAATTTAACAAAAATCAAAAACATGTGTTTCAATTTTAAAATGCATTAACAATTTAACCTACTTTTTTATCTCGTAAGAAGTACATTGTAATAACTGTTGACTGTTAAACCACAGTTTAAATTGTGTATGACTACACTGTTGTTAGATATAACCAAATATACGTTCTGATAACACATAATTTTAAACTATTGACGGAATACATAGATAAGAAGTAGATTAGAAAAAAAATAATTCGAGAGAGCCCAACGCGATGTCATTACCTTGACCGTATAAAATGGCTGGGAAAAACAAGAAGTAGGTAACTGTCTGACCGATTTGATTTGAGAACAAAAATCTTTTATTTTTTCTGTGGGGATAGTGTTCAGTGAGTGCGTGAGAGATACGCACCCCAAAAACTTGAACCTTCGTATCCCTCGTGTGATTACTATTATTGCTATTAGTTACATATGCGGGTCCCATTGACAGTATAATCGCACCCCCAGACCTACAGGACACCGATTTGCGATACATGTGTGGTTCGGAGAAAAAACGGATCCTTTAGAACTAAAGCTTAACCCCTGGCCGACATCGAAGTAACTCGTGTACGAATTTCAGAATAACAGAAAATAAGCAGCCAACAGGGTAGATTTTTATTTTTTTTAATACTAACAAATGACACAAACTATGTTTATCACGTACTCACGATACAATGAAACGTCAAATAAATCTTTAAAATCACATTTTAAAATGAAGTACTACAATGCGCTAATAATTAGGCACTAATTTCCGTGATTGCGAATTCTATTAACTACAATTCTACGTTCCAATTTCTAAACCTAACGCTTTATGAGTGTGTAACGACCTTTTCATAAACTTCTCCGTTATAACAATTTTTTGCTTCACATAAAATTGGCTAACATAGCTTGTCTTTGTTTCGCGAATCAACTATACAATAATCACGCAACGATTATCCACAAAGAATTCGTAATAAGTAACCATATTTATAGAATAATGCATAATTTATGTGATATTAACAACAAATTTCTCAGTAATATTTAAACAACTGTACTGCAGCTGTCGCGTACGATTCGGTCGAATGCGGATTACAAGTAATGATGGTCAAATGTCTAATAACTAATATACATTTTTTAAATTTCATTTGTTGTAATTTTAGAATTCTTGTTATATTTTTCATAAGTGAATATAAAAATTTATATTAAATCCACCAAGTCTAATGTGAACTTAAAACTAAATATAAGTTTAGTTTATAAGATCAAAAATATTATTAAACTGAAAACTGTGTAATGAATACAGTTAAAATTAAAAAACGAATTGTGCATGACTTTGATTTCAAAATACGTATAGTTTGGCCTCAGACTTTATGAAAATAGTCATATAGACTGTGGTTTGACTGTTACTATCAGAAAATTTATAAGTAAATGATATGGCAAAGAAAATATTTTCAAATTCCAACTAAAAGGGTTGTTGACCGATGAGTTCACTTAGAATAATTAAAGAGTTGTGTTACAACTTTTGTTCGCCATAAGGCGTGGCATGACATTGGTAACTAAAACTATTAAGGGTGTATGGACAGCTGTGTGTTAAAGTGTTTTGCTCTTGATAAGTAAAATTCTCTAGTCCATGCAAATACATTAAATGATGCAGTAAACCGTAAGCAGCAACGTCGGGGCAGGGGTTGTCGAACTGGCAAATGCGCATACGCGCAGTTCATTCCTTCCGACCCCCCGTCCATCAACCGGTCTTAACCAAGTAGCATGCGGCATTCACATTATTACTTCGGGTACCGTCGCCGACCTCATCATTGCTTCGTGAATTGTCGGCTAGTGTTGGGTTTCCTCCTTTAACGCTTCTATCATGTTTACCCCCTCTTTCATTATTCTTCCATAAACTTAGTCATTCAAATAGGTGTTCGTTATTCTACGCTCTTCTCAACGTACTCACTTACAACGTATCCGTTAACTTTTCAAAAATGGTTTTGTAAATATTGTTAGCTATAAATTATTAAGCCATTTTTGAACTGTTTTTCTTTTATGTGAAATTGTTATATTTTTCAATAATTATAAATATTTTGTACATAAACACGGTTTCAAATAACGCGATGTGTTTGCTGCCGTCATCCTCAGGATTTTCCAATCGTAGTTGATCCGAAGGTAAATAATGAAATGTCACTAGGGGGCAATGCCCGTCACAAAATTTTCACAGTTTAACAACCCCTAATTGAATCTAAAAAAAAAGAACTTAATATATAACTATTATTATGTTTAAATTTAAAAATATTATAATTTTTTTTTTAAATAAATGTAATTGTATAAATTGTGCAATTTTGCAAGGTTTTAAATGGAAACATGTGAAATTTAAATGATGTAATGCATGAGAGATTCAATTAATTTTAGTTAAATTTTATAATTCAATTAAAGATATAATATGATCACAATTTTTTTATAGGAGTAATATAATCTGTTTATATTAGTTTTTGTGGATAAAATTTGAATAGTTTGCAACAATTCTTATTAATGACATATTTTTTTAATGTTATTAAATGTTGTAATTAATGTTCTATTAATGATTTTTTCTTATATAAAATATAATTAAAAATATTCGTTTCAATAGATCTACACTCTATTAGTTTCATTTGTTTTAAAGTATATTGAGTAATAATTAGATTTTGTTGACTTTTACACTTGTGTTATGATTTTTTATATTATCAACAATTACTTATTATGGCTTGTCAACCATATTTTGTTGACAGTTCATTGTTTATATTATTATAAACTATTTGAAAGTTTGTAATAGTGTATTTTTACGATAAAAATGGTTGTGAAGATTTTATAATAGCACTTTTTACATTACATAATAAAGTAGAATTATACCTAATACATTGTGTTAATAAAGTGAAAGAAAAAATTATCTAGGCTTAAAAGTGTGTAAAAGTTCTAAAATAAATTATCTACTATCCAAACTTATATATTTTGGTGCATTTTTTTATTTTGAAGTACATTTTATTTGCCAAAACATAATATACTATTTTGTTTATTGAATTATTATTGTAAAAATTAAGGAAGAATATCAAAGCTTACAATTTTATATGTTACCATTTTTTATTTCACTTATTTGATTTATAATTACTTTAAGAACTAGGTATTTTAAGTTTTGCACCTTATTTTCATTATTAATTCAAAAATTTTTTATTTTAAATTCTGTTGAATAATTTCTTTAATAATAAGTTTAATACTTAAAATTAATATACAAATATTGTTAATTTATTTATAAAAATTAATATGAAATAAATCTGATAAAAATAGTAAAATTTTACATAAAACAAAAAACTATTCAGTTGTATGGAACAAAAACTTCCTAAAATAATTTTCACACAAATTTTAATCACTGGTAAATAACACATTAACTGGAAAAATGTCAAACTAATTCAACAATATCTAGTATTTATTTAAAATAACACACCAAAATATTTTAACAATTTTATATTGCTGAGGTAATTAATTACCTCAAATGCTGGCTAAAGGTTAATTTACCTATGTATACAATGGTTTATGGATGGATTCATTACCTTTAGGTAGTAGTGCTTTTAGTTTTTAAATTTTGATTTACTATGTCAAGTATTCTTCAATATTAATTGAATTTGAGATTGTTACTAGATAATAATAAAGTATAAAAATTTAGTTGTACTTAATATAGTAAATAAAATTTTTTTTGTAAATCTTTTGTCTAATGCATTTAATAAGATTTAAGAGTTATATATTATAAGAAAAAACTAATATTCTAAGGAATAATTAAACTAATTATTCTTCTTAAAGATGGTCTAATTGATATCATTAATCTAATTGAGCTATAAGAATTTTAAATGTGCAATCATCATATCATTGTTTCTTACTTGTTATTGTTTCTTAGAAATGTTCTGGGTGGCTATTAAGCTAACATAACATTTAGTTCAATATGAGTGCATTCAACAATCATACACCAAGGCAAGATGTTGCGTCACCAATGACCAATTTGGCTAATACTTTAGGAACAACATTGACAGTAAGACGGAGACTTACACTATCCGAATCTAGTGAAACACCAAACAAATGTTATGATAGTCGAATATATGGTAAGTACTTAAAAAATATTTTAGCCAAATTATGTAAATATTAATAAATTATGTACTATTTTAAAATAGTAGTAAATAATATTAATTGTATTGTCTCATTAACCTATATTTGGTACTGACTCATAATGGTGGATTTATAGTGGATGGAAGGGATCAGGATATGTGGACCCCTCACGGACTACAATATTAATATATTATACAAGGTATAACAGACTTAACTGACAACTCTTATAACTTTAGATACATATATTTTATTTTATTATTAATAATAAAAAAATAATTTTTTAGAGCTTTTTTACAACAAATGTTGAGAATTTGGTTTCAACTTTAGGATAAGTACTAATTGATTATCAAAGTTTTTTATAAGAAAAGCTTAAAAAAAATAATTTTTAAACAAAATTATTTATTTTTATTATTAATAATAAATAATAAAAATATTCTTTTAACATAGTTTAAGAATGCATAAATTATTTAAAAAAGAATTCAGGAAACTTTTAATTGTATCTCATGTAATAAAAGTTGTCAGTTAGATTCGTTTCACTCTGTATAATATGCAGAAAATACTGATAAGAATTTTATAATAAATTTTATTCCCAGAAAAATTTTGAAAATCTGCCACTGCAGTCTCTTATCAGATCTGTATTTTTTTTAAATAATATATAACTTAAAATATTGATAGTTATTATTTGGATGTTAACAATATATGTCCACCTAGGTATAACTAATAAGATAAAATAAGTTTTTATAGAGTCTCATTGTATATTGAAAATAGTTGTTAATGTAATGTGTTTTATGGTATGTCAGCAAATTGTCTTCTTTTTCCTCGTCTTAATCCCAACTACTTAGTGTCGGTCAAGTTTATGTGACCACACTGTAATATGTAATATTTAACATTGTGATAACTCAAAAATTAATATTTTTTATATTAAACGATTTAATTAATAGTCATAAAATGTATTTTTAAATTCTACAGTGAAATAAATATTTTTAAAGATTCACAATGATTGATTATACTATGTGTAAAATAATTAAAATACTTTATTTAAAATTATCAAAATTTAATTTGAAATGAAGCAATGTGTCTGACCTTACTGTGCAGTTCTAGTTTAAAAAAATCCAGCATAGTGGGGTCGCGACACAGTGGAGATATAGCATAGTTGGGTCCAGTATAGATGATATCTGATAGTGATTAAAATCACCATCATAAAAAACGCTTCAATGCAAATCTGTAGATAATCTTTAATTTAAAAAAATTGGTTGATTATACTTAAACCAAAATTAACTCCTATTTCTATCATTATTCTTAATAAGTAGTTGTTTTATTAGTATTATTTATAAATAAATATTTATTATAGCCAATCAAGGTAGTATGAAATTCATATTTAATAATTAAGTATTCTAATTTTTTCAGAGAATTTATAAAAAAATTATTGAGTAGTTATTACTTTTATGGCAAACTTATATAAAAATTAGAGGGCTTGACACAGAACTTTTTAGATAATAATTTGTTGTTAACTATGAATAAATGGTCTACAAAAAATGTTCATCTGAGTTAAAATATACTTTAATTATTCAAATTTTCATGCTCATTTCAAATCAACAATTATATTTTTCTATCACTAATAATTTTTGATATTATTACTAATTAGTTAAAAAGTATAGGATATAACTATAAAATAGTTCTGAGTATTTCAATTGTATTATCTATTTAAACACCAAGAGTTACATATAAATTATTAATATTTCTTTTGAAATGATTTATTATAATAAAAACACAAAGTAATTGTTTTTAAATTATTACAGATTTTGATTTTTAATATATTAAAAATCATCAGTGCAAAATATCATTTTCAACCTATATTTTTAGTCTTTTTTTCGAAAGTTTATAATAAAAAAAAGTTGAATTTATTACTATAACTTTTAGCTCAAGTTCAAGCTTGAAATTTATATTATTTTAACAGAAAATTTTATGATATTAAAAAAATAGTATTCTTTAGACTAATATGGAGTCAGAAAATTGTATAATTACTATTTACTGTAAATTTATAAGAAAAGCTCAATATATTTTTTGCATTTTTATTGTAATAGTGATCTATTACAATAAAAAGATCACTTAAATAGAAATCATAGTATCATTTTTAAGTAATTTTTAGTGTTTAAAAAGATTCTACAATTGAAATATTCAGAACTTATCTTAATGATTTAGTTTAACTAAACAACTAATCAAAACGTTAAAATATCTACTCATTTTGAGTGTATTATAAAATTTGATTATAATTGAATTTTTTTTTTTGTTAAATTCAGGTTAAACTAAAAATCATTTTTTTTTTAGATTCATGAATATATAGCAACATGTTACCAAAAAAATTGGAATATTATAGATTGTTAGTAACACACACAAATAAATTAAAAAAATTAATATATTACCAAGTACAATTATTTAATTTTGTAGTTGAAACCTATCAAACCTTATTCGACAATAAATACTTTAAAAACATTAAAAATGAATGATTTTAATTGTCTATATGAAGAATATGGGCTTAGTAAATTTTTAATTGATAAATTTTCAATTTTTGTAGGTAATATATTTAACTAGATAATAGTTGTGATAATTTGATTCATCTTTAATAAAAGTTGGTCAAGTGAAAGATGAGAAAATAAATGAGAGCCATAAAAAAATCACATAATAAAAACACATTAATATGAGTAAGAAATTTCATCAAATGAGGGTAGATTACAGTGATGGGATCCTTGATATTCATTAATGTTATTGAATCTATATGATATAAAAATCAAATGAGTTAAAAAAAATTTTCTAACTTAAAAATTTTGTAAGGTATTTTAAAATAAAATATAAAATCGAAAATTTTAACAAAAAAAATAGCATACAGTAGCCATTTTTAACCATGAAAACAATATAAAGTTCGACATTTTTTTTTCCATAAAGTATATTAAATTAGCTTTAATTTAAAATATATATAAAAGAGTCAGTATTACCGGAAAATAAAAAAAAAAATTATATTGATTTGGTCATTTTTGAAAAAGTTATAGCAGTTTAAACTTCTTCTTTCCACACTCATTTCTTTAACTGTTCTTATAGCGTCCAATTCTTCTGTCCTCATAACATGACCAAACAACCATCTAAGTCTATTTTCTCTCATCTACTAATTTGACTTCTTCAACGATGCATATTTGAGACGAGTCGTCGACGGACGTGCGGTACTTGCCGGACTTTGTACCTTGACGTATCGCACGTGGTGTTAGTCAAACTACCATATACACATATTATGGCGATGGCTGGTAAACGTTGCAAGGGTCGCGGGGCTCCGTGTATCAAGAACCGACACGGGACCGTGTCAAAACAAAGTTTTAACACGACTTACGTCGCAAGAATGTGGTCGACACTGGTTTGAGGGTAGAGACCCGTGGGCCGTTTATTAAATGAGCGACAACAGATTATGTTAACAAAAATAAAACAAACCGAAAAGATTAACACAGTAATAATAATCTTCGCATAATATCGCGGCACTTTCGCTGGCGTCGACGACGCGATGTCCGGCGTAATCCTTGAACGGCAAAATGGTTAGCAGCGTTGTAGGCGACGGTGCGCGGGTGCGGTTCGGCTGTCGACGTTGTCGCTTTCACAACGGGAGGAAGACTCTCGCACCATTTGCGGCGGGTCGTCGTCGGCCGTGCGGCATTTGCTGGACTTTGCACCGTAGCGTATAACACGCGGTGTTGGTCAGTCAAATACTCATAGTAGGGCGACGGCTGATAAAGGTGGCACGAGTCGCGGGGCATCGTGTATAACGAAGCGACGCGGGCCGTGTCAAATACCCCCCCGCCAAGCCGCCGGTCTACTTAATGACGGCCGGGAAGAAACTGCGTATCGCAGTGAATGCCGCAAACTCACCTTGTTTGCGGGTGATCTAAGGGGTGAGTGCGTGTATACCAATTCCGTGGGTTTTCCCGCTGGTCGCTGTTTCACCGCTGCTAATTTGGATGTTGCTACCGGTACTGTGTTGTTATTGCTACTTTGCTGTTGCTGCCGTTATTGTTATTGCCGCTACTGTGTTGTTGCTGCTGTTATTGTTGTTGCCGCTACTTTGTTGTTAAAAACGATGTCTCCTCCATGTTTGATGCTAAGGATGGTGGTGTCAGCCTCTGTTCTCGGGCTGGCACTAGTAAAGTGAGTGATGTGTGTTCAATAAGCGTTGTGCGTCCCACTGTGTTATTAAAAACCGCAGCGTATTGTTTCACTATGTGAGATAATAATTCGCGCGAATGTGGGTCGCCTGCTATATCTATGTTTGGCAGATCTATACTGTGGGGGGTGCGGGGATCGCTTGCTTTCCAGCACGCCGTAATACGTCGTTTCGCGCCTANCGCTTGCTTTCCAGCACGCCGTAGTACGTCGTTTCGCGCCTAGATGTATTGTGCACGCAGCATAATCCCAAGAGACTTCCTGATCGGTCAGAAAATCATGCCCTAGAAGTACGTCACAGTACAGGTTGTCTAAGATCACGGCCGTAAAAGTGATTGTCAGATCTGCGATGTTCGCGGTAAAAGTAGCGGTGCCGGCGGTGGGTGTCGTGTGGCCGTCTGCTAATCTAACCGCGTGTGTGGGTCCTTTGCGCACAATTCCGTATTTATGGGCTATTGCCGGGGTGGTATATGACTTCTGCGCTTGTGAGTCAAGTAATGCCGTCACAAAACCGTTGTAAAATTCAAGTTCCACAGCGGGAGTTGTAATTTTACGCGGGCGTGTTTGTTTGGCAAAACTCGGGTGGTTTACGGTTCGAACGGGGAGCGTCTGAACGGTTTGTCCGCCGGCGGTGTCAATCGCCATAAGCGGGTAGGCCGTCTCGGCTGGTATCCCCTCCCCCACGGTGGCCAGCATGTCGTTGGCCCGACTCGCGCTATAACACGGGGACTTTTGTTTTCTCGGCCGTATGACTAATATTTTTAAAAACATTGAGGACCGCATTGTGTCCCTCACTGTGGGTGGGGGGTGCGGTGAGTGAATTTAAAGGGGCTACAGCTTGTCCTGCGTTGTGTGCGAGGGGCTGTAGTCGAAGTTGAGGGCCCGGTGAACGGGCGAGGTGAAGTGGAAGGTCGTTAAAAATTTCATCATTTTGGCCGAGAGGAACGCGCTCGCTTTCGCTATCGCTAATGAACGAATTAGTTATTCGCGCTGCGCGTTGTGTGGTGTGCTTGTTTGTTGCCGTATGGAATTGTGTCTTTAAGCCAGAAGAGCGGACTAATTTCTCCGTGGCTGTTGCCCGTTTCCCGAAACAGTCGGCCTATTAGGGCAACTGCTGTGCCAGTGGTCTGCTCCGCAATATCGGCAGGGTCGGGGGGGGCGTTCCGCGTTAGGCGCGCTCGCCCGCTGTCGAAAAACTTGCGGTGGTTGGGGAGGCGCAGGAGGCGGTACGTACGGCTTTAAGTTGGTTTTTAGCCTACCCGTGCGTAAGGGCCTGTCGAGATCGTTCGCGATTACGCGCAAATCGTCTAGAGTACGCGGACTTCGCATTTTCACGTTGCCGTAATATTCGTCGCGTAAAAGACTAACTACACGATCTACGATCTGCTGCTCGGAACAACTGGGGCGGGCGCGCATCGCTAAACGTTGTTTATCTATAATAAATTCCGTCATACGCTGATTGGGCCCCTGTTGTGATGTCATGAGTTCGTTTTCTAGCTCGGCTTGGATGCTATTATTATCGAACGCCACGAGAAACTCCCTTGAAAATTGGCGCCAGGACATGTTGTTCAACTTAATGGACTCCCACCAAGTAAATGCCGTGTCCCTTAAAAACTGTACCCCGGTTCTCACCCACAAATCATAATGGATACCGGATTGTGTCAGGAGGTTTTCTAGCTGCTCTAGAAATTCCCTCGGGTCCTCCTCATATTTCCCCGTGAACTCAGGAGACGGAGGACGTAAAACAGGCGGATTATTATACGGTACAGTCGCCGAATGTGTATATGAACGGGTTGATGGGGACGGTGACGAATCGCGTGTCGGTGGCACAAATGTGTTTGGCACGAAATGTCCCGTGTGTTGTGGGCGCGCGTCTGAATGTAAAGTCGCTTCGTGCGTGTTCGCTCGAGGTAGTGATGGAGACGCGCGCGTGGTCTGGCCGGCTAATCGTTGTATATTGCGCGCCTCGCGCTCTTCGATCTCCGTCAAACGTTGTTGTAAAGCCGCGTTATTCTGGGTCATGCTACTCGGCCCAAACGTTACGCGGTTTTGTTCTGGCAAGTGCGCGTGATCAGTACGATTTGTGTCGGCTGTTCCTCGCGTCATTTGTGCGGTGGCGAACGGATTTAGCATGGACTCGTTGTTTAAATCGCGACTTGTAATTGTGTGTGAGAGGGACCGAATCTCCTGCGTAATGCGGGACAGTGCTCTCTCTACTTCTGACATGCGCGCTTCCATGCGTGTGTTCAAAGATACGTCGCGTAAGCTCTGCCTTAACGCGCCTATCTCCTCCGTTGCGTGGGATATTGAACGTACCGTATACATGTCATCAATGGTGGGCATTAACTAGTTTAAAAGTTAAAGTTAAGTTAAAAAGTTAATGTTTTTTTAACTTTTCAACTTAACTAGTTAATTATTTTTCTAATAAACTTTTTAACTCTAACTAATTAAATTTTTCGTTAAAATAACTTAGCTTTTTTCAGTTAATTAGTTGAAATAACAGTTAAGCTAAATTCAAAATTCCATAAAAAATGTATGTCATTAAACGCTGCTTACGTGATTTAATTTTAAAAAAATCCAATATTAATACTAAAAACTGTGTTTTATATTTTTTAGTTATAAAAATACACAATGATTAATAATAATAGTAATTATACAATGAAGGATAGACATAATAATACTCTACTCAGATGTATTATTATATGATGAAAATAATCATTATTGATAAGGCCGCACACCTGCTCTCAGAATTGGGGAAAATTCTAAAAATAGCTTAAATGCAATGCACTTACTTTGGTTGGTATGATGTTAGTGTGATATGGTTTTCATACAATCGTCAATCGAATACGAAAAAATATGTTCATAACAAAATTATGGCGTCAGTTGATAAATATTATGTTATGTTTTAATTATGTAGTGTTGTTTTATGTTTCTAATAATTTATACATCGTAAATCCAAATTTTTTGTTATGTCGATAAGTAAAATAAGTGGCCATACATTAATTCTTTTTTCAAATAAATGTTTGATAATAAAAGTAAAAATTTTTCTAAATAATGATTAAAAATATGTACAAGATGATTTTTAACACTAGTCACTCAATTTTTCTAAAATGGTATATTTTTTTTTTTGGCTTTTGTTAGTTACATATGTACTTCTTACTGTAACTTTTTCTAAACTAGTTTATTTTATATATATATTTAAAAAAAAAAATTTTAACTTATCTTTTAACTTAGCTAGTTAAAAAAATTGTTTAATTTATCTTTTAACTTAGCTAGTTAAATTTATAATTTGGTAACTTTTAACTGTTAATTTATCGACATTGTTCCTACTTAACTTAACTTAACTTGAGTTAAATATTTTCATTAACTTGCCCATCTTTGCATGTCATCTGTATACGCTGCGTTCACACATCCGTTGTGACGGCCGGTTGCCTGGGACCACTCGTGTAGAGACCCTGTTTCGGATTCCTCTAGCGCCAGGTTAACCGGTTGATCCGCGTGTGTCGGGGGGACGACGGTCCGGCATAGCGCGGGGGCGTCGTCTATCCGTGACTCGCGTTCCGTCTCGAGCGTCTCATAGTGAAGCGGCGGGCGTTCGGGTAAAATCGCGTTCGATGGGTCTAGCCCTTCGCTGCGTAAATTATTTTCCAACACGGCTAGCATATCGCTTTTCGTTGTGGGCCCATTTAGCTGTCTATACGCGCACTCGCGCAATAGTTCCCGACGATTCATCTGAGACAAAGTTTTACCTGACATCGTGAACGTTCTTTACCGTATTTCGCGAGAATGAACAAAAATAAATAAATAAAACGCAAGCGCTTGTTTGTTTTTTTTATTCGGAAATACGATACCGTCANTATTCGGAAATACAATACCGTCGGTCTCGAGAATACGCGTTATGTGCTCGCGTATGAACGTCAACAATGCCGGCCGTTTGTATTATTATTGTTGTTGTGGTACTGATATAGTATAGAACTAAGATAATGGTTTTGTATGGGGACGACGTTACTATAATATTTATAATTTCGAAGGTCGGAAATAATAATACAAACGGTTTTATGGGCTCGGTTGTTAATGCTATAACGAACGCGTTGATACGGAGTGTATTGTGCACTACCTGTCTGTCGCTGTCGTTGCAATGTAATGTGAATCAGCGGCGCCGTCTCGCGCGCGCGATAAGGAATGGTTGGGCAACAACTGGATAATCTACTTGTTGATGTTAAAAATAACTAGCGAAGTGGAATTCTACAATTGTTGCGCTATTGAAAATTTATCTATAACCGAGCGGGGAATTCGCTGCTGTCACCAGCGGACTGTGACTGAAATAACTCGAAGTACAGGGCGGCTAAGTAAACCTAGCTGTCTCTTATATAAAAAGTAAAATAAATTACAGACAAGTCAGCAAATGGTTTTCTTACCTTAATCAAAGTTAATCCAAATTACGACCGGTTTGTAGTCCTTGCCGGGGAGCCAGTTGACACGACTTACGTCGCAAAAATGTGGTCGACACTGGTTTGAGGGTAGAGACCCGTGGNTGACACGACTTGCGTCGCAAAAATGTGGTCGACACTGGTTTTGAGGGTAGAGACCCGTGGGCCGTTTATTAAATGAGCGACAACAGATTATGTTAACAAAAATAAAACAAACCGAAAAGATAAACACAGTAATAATAATCTTCGCATAATATCGCGGCACTTTCGCTGGCGTCGACGACGCGATGTTCGGCGTAATCCTTGGACGGCAAAATGGTTAGCAGCGTTGTAGGCGACGGTGCGCGGGTGCGGTTCGGCTGTCGACGTTGTCGCTTTCACAACGGGAGGAAGACTCTCGCACCATTTGCGGCGGGTCGTCGTCGGCCGTGCGGCATTTGCTGGACTTTGCACCGTAGCGTATAACACGCGGTGTTGGTCAGTCAAATACTCATAGTAGGGCGACGGCTGATAAAGGTGGCACGAGTCGCGGGGCATCGTGTATAACGAAGCGACGCGGGCCGTGTCAGTTTACTTTTGTCCTTGGCAAAAAAAAATCGAAATCTGTGATCTAAAATAAATATATATTGTATTTAAATTGAAAAAAAAATAATAAAAAATTAAGTATTAATTAAATTATAGTACTCAACGTTATATTAATCTATTTTAACAAATATTTATAATATTTAAGCAAATATAATTTTTATTTTTAGATTATGATAGAAATAGCGCACCTGGAATAGAGTGTAATCGGTAAAAAAATTGAAATAATTAATCAAATAGTTATTTATTTGAATAATTTTTATTTTTTTTATTTAGATTAATCAAGGGAAACTCAAAAACTATAAATGATAGCCCATTGAAATGTTTAATGTTACAAAAAATAATGAACAGTCCAATCGAAAAAGAGAATTCATCAAAATGTATGGATGTAGTGATGTCTAAAGCTTTATCCCCATCTCGTTCTAGTCCTACAGTAAGATATACAATAAACGCATGTTTTTATTTTAATTTAATCTTGGCTAATATATCAATAACAATCAAATTGTATAGTTATTTTTATTATTAATACCATAAATAAAAAAATATTTATTTAAACTAAATCATAAAATAATTTTTTAAATCCTTAAAAATATATAATTTTATGTAAACACAAAACTTAAAAAGATATTTTAAATAATATAATTATACAAATTTGTATTAGTTATATATTGTATATTATTTGTTCAATGATTATGTCAAGCAAGATTCCATACTGTTGTGAATTCTTAAACTGTGAAGTTTGTATTAATAATATATTAACATTAATTAATCCCAGCATAAATTAAATCATTAACCTTAGTTTGTTTATTTATTACATTAAATTAAATTAAATTTTTTATTCATCTCTAAACTGTTAATTATGTATTGTTAAAAAGAACGATCAATGTTAGATATCAAATTTACTATTAAATTTAATAATTTTCTAGAATTTCAATATTAATGAAAATAAATATTGTAGTTTATAAAAAAAAAGGAATTTATGGTTTTCAGTTTGCAACATACAATCGCCATGTAAGAGGACGACATCCACTTGAAGATCATGATCCTAATTCACAGGACAGTGGTTTTTTTACTGCTCATTCAGATGATTCTAGATCAGTGTCAGTTGGTGATAAAAGAACATTATCTGATATGCGATCTGAGAGCAATACATCATATACAGCTGTTTTAGATGATGCATTCTTAGACAATGCTGTATCCCCAGCAAGATTGGTAATTATTTTACTTTTTAAAAAAGTTAACAGTTTTTTTCCTAATTTTATTTTATTTCTAGTCTCAAGATTCGCTTCCACCTGGGTTCAGTACATTAATAGATGGAGATATTTTTAGCCAGACATCACCTATTATAAAACCTATTGTTAAAAGAAAAATTACAAAATATTCTTCAGATACTCCTCGCAAGACTGTAATTATTATAAAACAATTTATTATTTCAATAATCATAGATTTAATATACATGTATATATTATAGGATTTATTGTTTGGTGATATTAAAAATAATGAAGCAGTTGTGAGAAAAAGAAAGTTAACACGTGATCTAGAATCAACCCCTGAAACTAATGTATTATTAAAGAAAACTAGACCTAGTATAAGTCTTTCTATGTCATTTGATTCTCCAAGACTTGATTATATAAACAGTCCTTTAACTGCCCCTGTATCTCAGGGAAAGCGTACTTTATTTGATTATGGATTTTGTAAAAAAGAAAAACCAGTTTTTCGACGTTCATTTTCTACTAGTGAAGCTACTATTAAAGCTGCTTTTGAAAAAGGTAGAAAATAAAGAAGATTACTTTTTAAAATTATTTATTCATTTTTAATACTCATTATAAATAAATATAATTAATAAGCGATCATGTTTATTTAAATAATGCTTCAAAAGTGATTATATTTGAACTGTTTCTCTATCTAAAATTTATTGTTAGTTAAAAGGTCAAGTAATGTAAACATCACTTTTTTCAAATTAGAGTTATGATAGAATTAATAATAAACAGTTGAATAAATATTTAACAAAAAAAAAAAATCAATTAAATCATTGGCCACAAAATAATTATTCCTATCTAAAGTTAAATTGAAATTTACTACTTTATCTATTAACCGATATAATTATTATAAAACATTTTTTCCTCTAAAATTGTTTGTAATTAATAACTTTATTATTCCATTATAAATTATCTTTATGGTATTTTTATAATTTTAATAGAACATTTTGTATTGTTATGATGTTTAGAGGATACTGGAGAGAAACTAATTGGTGACTTTAGCAAATCATTTGTTTTACCTTTAATGCCATTTGGTCGCCATGCTGATCTCTGTAGTATATCCCCAGAAACATTAGCTGAGTTACTGAATGGAGCTTATGATGACTTTATTGATTCTTATCTTATAATTGATTGCAGGTATATAATATCATATATTTTTTGCCTTCAATTTCAAACTTACAACTGATTTTCATATTTTTAATTAAAAATTCTAGATACCCTTATGAATTTGAAGGTGGTCATATTAGAGGAGCTGTTAACATTTTTACTAAAGAACAACTATTAAAAAATTATACCGAAGATCAGTTAGGTAAAAGATCTCCTAAAAATGAATCCAATGGAGGTAAAAGAAACTTATTGATATTTCACTGTGAATTTTCTTCAGAAAGAGGACCAAGTTTGTAAGTATTTTATTTTAATAATTTATTTAATGGTTTAAAAAATTAATAAATAATTTAAAAAATTTCATTTTAATATAAATTATAGGATTATAATTTTCAGTAATTTCTTTAAACATCAATTGTTGTTTATACTATAATATATTTTGAGTAATTTTTTTTTTAGACAATCTAATTTATAATAATATTATTATTTTTCTTCTTATATGTCAGTAAAAGCTCCTGTAATAAATATATAAAAATTTCCAACAACTATTTAATCTGAATAACATTTGTACTTATGGAAAAATTAAAGTACATTAAATGTATTTTTCTGTTTAAAAAAAATCTTTAAAGTTTTACAAATTCTAATAACAAAAATTATAATTCATCTATATTTTTATTTTACAAATGAAAAGTTGTTAAAAAATTTTAAAATATTGTAACAGAATTATAGCAGCGTAAACCCCTTGTAAATAATTTTTAATAGGTTTAAATTAATAATTTCTTATTTCCATAATTGTATGTATTATAATTTTTTTAATTTCATCTATCATAGTTTTCATTAATATCATAAGAAACTAAGGTATACTTAGTTTTAAAAAATATTTTAACATTTTGCAGATCACGATATTTACGTAATGCTGATCGAGAGAATAATAGTATGTGCTATCCATATTTGGACTATCCAGAGATGTATTTGCTAGATGGGGGTTATTGTAAATTTTTCAGTAAATATAGGCACTTGTGTGAGCCATCTAACTACCGAGCTATGTTAGATCCAGCTCATAAAAAAGAACTTAGATTATTTAGATCCAAGTCTAAAACATGGGCTGGTGATGGTGGAACATCACGGCTAGTTAGTAAAAATACATTAAAGAGGTTGGGGTTTAATTAGCATTATGTTGTTTTGTTATATTCCTCTACTATGAAAATATAATTTTTGCTTTTTAAAATTTAAATTTTTTAACGTTTAACCAATTAATTTCTTTCTATTTTTTCTTTTACCTAATTAACTTAATATGTTGAAATATTAAAATTGGATTCCAGTGCAATTTATAAAACTTTTATGATGCTGTTATGAAAGCACTGTTACCTAAGTTGCCAAAACATAATCATATGTAACAGTTTTTATGTTTAATTGTTTGATAACATTATTTCCTTAAATAAATTAAATAGAAAATTTTATATATTTACTTGATATGTACTACTTGCCAAGTGCAATTTGAGTTTTTTTTTACAGTTATGTAATAAAAAAAACTAATATTTACATTTGTACCAAAAATCTATTCTTTTTATTTTATTTTTTTTTCAATTTTTGTCATAACTTAAAGACTTATATATTTAGAATTAATAATTTTATTTTATAGATAAAAATTTGTTTGATGTGTTCATTTTTTATTAGTTAATATGTAAATAATTTGGGTTTCTTTACTTTTTTTATATAAATATGAATGAAAAATTTTGTGTACAATTTAATTTTAAATTAAATTTTATTATTGAATTAAATATTTTTAATTTATTAATCCATACAGACATTGTTAATATCGGTATTCTATCTTTGTTATAAACAAACTGTTAAATTTTTTTATTAAAAATAACCAAAACTTTCTTTTAGTAAATCAGAATAACAATATTTCAATTATCTGTCAATAACTTTGTCATTTTAAATGTATTTCAATTTAATAAATAATATTAAAAATATTTGCTTGTTTTAGTGGACAAAAAATTTTTACAAGTAAATTTAATATATTGAAAATTCCGTTTTAGATATAGACATTTTATTTCTTAATTTTGATTAAAAAATATAACAAAAAAAGTTATTTGTTTAAAATTCATACTGCGACCTCTGTTTTTACATAAAATATAGTTTTATAATAATATTATAGTAATATTTAAAAATAAAAATGATTATATTTTATTTCTGTAAGCCTTAGCTTATGAGAAAGGGTTCATACATATTTTTTGAATTTTTATTGATCTATTATTATTTAATGAAACAAATTAAAGTTTGTGTATAAGTATTAAAATATTGATTTAATTATGAGCTTGTATTTCCTGTAATACAAATGGATAAGAACTTCATCAATGTTTGTTGAAATCTAATCATTGTATTTTATACTTATTAATTTATTGGTAAAACAGTTTTTTTGTACAACACCTCAATTTTCATCAAAAAAATTTATCATGACTGGTTATCTATTAATGGGGTAACATTGCTCAAGTCTCACCATCATATGTGATCGGATTAATGTTACACAAATTCGTTGGTATGGTATTTATATTAAAAAAAGATACTAAAAACAAATTGTTTCATACTACAACAAATTGAAATGAGAAATATTGTATTTAATGTTTTTGCATATTTAGGTTCTTTTTTACAGTTAAATTTGTCTACCTTATTTGCTTTTGTTATCATAATTAAATCCATTAATCAAACCCTAGTTCTAATCCAACTAACATACATTTAATAATATCTCATACCGGTATGTATGAACATTTTCGTTTAATATTCTTATTTAACCCCTTTCTGTATGTATTAATTATTTTTCTCAAAATAAATATATATCTAGAATTGTGGTCATAGTGAAATTGAAAATTTTTTGATCCAAAAAAACTCTAAAGTGTAATGTGTACTAAAACTATTTATGTGTCATATTTGGATCTTATCCATTAAAGTATGCATTGCTATAATGTGCCATAAATGGGACATATGCAGTTATGAAATAATACTCACATTATTATAATATACTATATTTATTACTTCGTATATCACATTTCTTGTTGGTAAACAGTCTTTGATTTCTAAATTTATTTAGTTTCTTATATTTATAAAAAAAAAACTATTAATTAACAGTTAAAATCTCTTAGTAGCCCAAGTATTAACAAAAAATCAAATGTAAAATAAACATTTTACACAGTGTGAAACAGTAGGAACACAATTCTCCTTGTTTATACATAATGGTATTGTGCATTTTTGACAGGTTATCATAGTCTTAAATTTGCAATCTAGATACTTGCATCTTGTTCGAATATCTGTATGGATAGGATAGTGGTCATATCCATCAAGTCTTATTTCTTGTGCAGGTATTTGTCTACAAGGGCCTCGCCTCCGTTTCTCCTCATTATAAAGGCACTCAGTTTTGTTTTCCTCCATAGTTGGCCTTCCTCTTCTCCTTGGTGATACTTTTTGTTCTGCGCATAAAACTTGATACTAAGAATTTGAAGTCTACTAGTGTTAAATAGAAGTTATCGGTATGAACTCGTCGATATAGCAACCATGAATTCACCACACACAAATCCAAAACATGGAAAAATATTTTGATATATTTTTTGGACTTGATACTTATTCTGTAGTAACCCAGCATTGAATCGAGGAAATGGACTTCCCCCATATAAGAGTTATATGTATCAATTGCCTAAGGGCATGGTACCCTATTATATCTTTTTTCACTTTAAAAAAAACTTTTTTTTTCCCAATTGGCTGGCTTCCAACATAAGAGGACACCATGTTTACTAAATTATTATCGTATCACGAAACTGCTGATATTGTTACATTATTAATTGTTGTAAGTTTCTCACAGAAAGAGCCTCTGCCTTTTTTTAAAATCTTTTTCACTTGGCATATTTAATCCAGTTAAGCGATTTAATCTAGCAGTTCCTATGGGAAGAATGCCTTCTTTCTCCAAATAAATTAGTAAGTCTATACTTGTAAACCAGTTGTCGAAAAAGATCTTGTAGTTGCAATTTTTTGGTATTGATGCATCCATTTTTACAACCATATTGCTGCTTACTGACAATGAAGGCAAGTTATCGGGCATAATGTTAGTTTGGGCCCCAGCAAAAATTTCAAAATCTGTTCGAATCTATTAAGAGGCATCAGATTAAATATTGAAGGAATACTTAATTCACCCCAATAATGTCTTCTAGGTAAATGTACGATAGACATTTTAAGACATATCAATAAACTGTTCCATTTTCTTTATACTGATATTGGTTGGTTTATTTGGACGTACTTGACTGGCATATATATTAGATTGTTCAACAATAAATGAAATAAGCGACTTAGGAAATCATTTAGTAAAAAACTCATATGGTGATACCATATTTTTAATGTTAGTAAGTAAATTTATATCTCCTAAAAAAAAACCCAACTTTTGTCATAATAGATTACGTCGGTTCGAATTGGTGCGTTCAGAAGTACAAATTTTTTGGCGACATTGGACAAGAGAATATCTTCCTCAACTATAAAAAAGAACAAGGTGGTTGACTCTAAGTTGTGATATGAAATAGGTGACCTGGCTATAATGAAGGATGACAATTTACCGCCATTTAAATGGAAATTGATGATGGTAGTGGAGGTATTTCCTGGTCAAGATGGTGTTGTTCGGGTGGTGTCTGTAAAGACACAAAATGGAACTATGTTGAAAAAACCTGTTATAAAGTTATGCCTACTACCAAACGCCAAGGATAAAGACCAACTAGATAGTGAACAAGACAATCCAGATCGTGGTTGAAAGCATGAGCTTTCAAAGGGGGGGTAAATGCTTAGCTTAACATAAATTAGGTGTCACGCTCTAGCCGCAAATTTAGCACCTACTCGCAGTTCTACCTACATGACTGAACTGCACTTCTCCCTTCCTTTCCATGCTCATGTAACATTAGGTTAAGAAAAACTTTTTTTGAGATAAAAAATTTTTGTGTTAACTTGGAGTTGAGTGTGTCTGTTACATTATTTTTGTAAAGTTTTGTTTTAAGAATATATATTTTAAATTTAAGTTTCCTATCTTCATTTTGTGTAATTATTCTAACATGGTAAATTTTCTGTGATAGTTAATTGTTCAATTTAGTGTTTGTGTAGTATTGTGTTCTAAGTTTTGTTACAGTGCTTATCGCAGTTGAGCAGTGCGCATTTTTCTTTTACTGTTCTGTCAGTTTTTAATTTGATTTGTGATATTGTTTAATAATTATTGAAATATTTTGTAAGCATAAAAAAGGTAGTATAAGATAGCTTTATATTACAT